TCGATTGGCCTGTTCATTTGCCCTTCCCTGACGAGCGACACCAATCGACAGTCGCCAAGCAGTCACCAGCCACCGTCGGAAGGTGTCGCCTGCTCTACCCACTGCTCAGCCTGACCATGTTGGCTGGCAGCAACATACATACCACAATCATAGCCATTGAGTGGCGCTGAAGAGAGGTGCAGCTCAATATCACTCGCTCTAACTAGCTTGACTCCCCACCCGATTAGGTGGAGAACGAAGGCGCAAGATGGCAGTGCCCGAGTGACGGTGATACTACACCCGAAGCCCTTCACCCGCAGGTATTGAAAACCCACCCTGTTTCTCAACCTATGCAGACGTCTCTCAATTCTCACGTAACCTCTAACCTAGACTCAACACCATCTTGGTCAGAAGAAGAAAAAAACGAGAATCCCTCAGTCCCATTCTATGCCAAGATCAAACACCCAACCGTATCTTCAACAAATCCTTCTCTACAATCTTCTCCTTGTTCTCACTCAACTCCTCAAAAATCCCAATGCATTCCTTGCCCTCGCCGTGGCCCTGGTCAATGTATTGTGTCAAACGGAGTGCCACGAGCTTGCTAAGCGAGTAGCCCGAGTGCTGCTGGAGCGTGGTGACGCCGATGATGGAGACTACGTTGATCCAGGTTTTGACAGGGGAGTTGAGGAGCAAAGGGTAGAAGGCGTGGAACATGAGGTAGGGGCCTTTGACGTTAATTTCAAAGGCACGCTACCAGTCTTCTGGGTCCGAGTCGGGGATCGACGTTAGTTTGTGGAGGTACCCGGCGTTGTTGATGAGGATGTCGACCCGGCCGTCAAAGTCCTGGGACACTTGCTTGGCCGTGGCGTTGACGCTTTCGGCGCTTGTGATGTCGAGGTTCAGTGTTGCGATGCGTGGTGGGGGGGTGGCTGGCTGCTTCTACGACTGCGCTGACGACGGGGTCGAGGGATGAATGCGCGGCGAGTATCATGTTGGAAGCGCCGGCTTGTGCATAGCTTATTACTGTTGCTTTTCCCAGGCCTTTGGATGCACCAGTTATGACAACGATTTCTCCCTTGAGGTTGGCCTTTTGGGGGGTCAATGTAGGCGTAGGTGTCATGGTGTTGGCGAGAGAGACGTCCTGAAAGATTTTAAGTCGTTACACGCTAAGACTGTACCCAGGATTTATCTACCTCCAATTGTTTGCACTCTTGCCAAGTCTTGTTCCATGTTGACGGCTTTCTTTTGGCCTCGAAGCGGAAGAAATTCGTATGCCAAGGCGAAATCACCGGAATTCGCCCTGTGTTTCTACATGGATTTCTCCGCAGAAATTCATAGAGCCATGATTCAGAGCACCAAAGGAACACGGAAACGTACCTAGGACACAGTTACTTACAAATGTACACAGACGCTATTCCGGCTACTCTGTTTTCTGTCTCGATTTGGTTACTGTTTTGGGGTTAGAGTTTTAATTTGAGAGCGCAAATCTCTTGGTAGACTCAAAGAGTGCAATAAAAATTGCACTTTCAATTCAAGACACGCGTGACTATCTACCAGCAGTATCACTATCAGCTTACATAAACAAACATGATTTAGATGTAAAGTCTTTAATTGTGTACACATGGATGTGTCAAAAGTGGTCAAAAGGCACACGTTTTGTAAGATTGTTGTGAAGGCATCAACTGTTTTTTGTTCAGTGCTGGAAGAAGGCATTACATATCTAAGAGGTTCTATTAAAAAAGTATTTTGTACGTAGCAAAGTCGTAAACTTGTAATTTTTTTTACAAGGTAATTTCCAAAGCCGGGGTCTCCATGAGGGGAAGAATCTTCTCCACTGCCCTCTCGGCAGTAATCATAACACCCATGACAGGGTTTGTGGTCAGAGGAGGAACAATACTGGCGTCTACGACGAACAGATTCTTCATGCCAATGACCTTGGTATCGGTATCTACACACTCGCCCATTCGGCAGCTGCTGCTCCAGTGCTGCACGTTGCCGAGCGTGTAATCGCTTGGAGTCTTCAACCAGGTCTCAATCTCGTCGACTGTCGAGTTCTTTGCAATGTTGAGAGGCGTAAGAGTTTCTGGAAGAGCTTGGAAGATGTTGTGAGTGAAGGTCGCTATCGCCTGGACGTCGCGGGGATCAGCGAAGAAGTTGGATGAAGGCAGAGCGATGCCATTGGCGTCGAGGCTGACACGACCAAAAGAGCGAAGACCTGATGTGCCGTAGACGTTGAGGGTGAAGGTGTTGTTGTCATTTGCATAGTCGAAAGCCCCCGAAGAGTCAATGGTACCTTGGCAACCAACGAGGTCTTCGCCTTGTTGGATGAAGTCCCAGAACGCACTTGTTTGTGAGGCAAAGGTGTATGGTCCAGTGCGGTTCTTCAGGTACATCTCAGCGTCCGTTGCTGGAGGGTTAGAGTACTCGTAGACGAAAGAATCGACCGACTCGTCGTGGAGCTCAATGAAGGTATTCGGGTTGTCGAATACCTTGTCACCAACGGCAGTGTTATTGATCCAGTCCTGAGGTGGGACCGTAACCTGACCGTTCTTTGCAAGGCCCTCCAAAAGAGTTGAGTTGCCAATACCGGACCACATCAGGAGCTGGGGGCTCAGGAGCGCACCTGCTGATGAGATGACTACACCACCTTGCTTGAGGCAGATGCTGGTTTGGTTGGTATTCCCAGTCTCGACATCGACACCGGTTGCAACGTCGCCATCACGACGAACGCGCAGGACCTTTGTTCCGGTCCTGAAGCCAAAGTTCGATCGCTTGAGAGCGTTTTGGAGATATGTCTTGACTGGTCCACTCCTCTGACCTCCCTCGTAGTTCCAGATGGGATGACCAAAGACCTTGGTTTTAGAATGTTCTGATGGCCCGTCATTCAAGCCAACGTCGGCATATCCGGCTCCATCGACAAGCCACTGCCTGGCAGCCTCATAGCCGCTTTGGAGGTATCGCTGTCCGTCCATTGAAGGGTTGTCGGTACTTGGCTGAGTTTCCCTCACTTTCTGAATGGCACTTTGCATGTCCTTGTTCTTCCAGCCTTCTGGGAAATACCTGTCCCAATCGCTAGCGGGAGGCTGGAAGAAAAGTCCAGCGTTGATGGCAGTGTTACCGCCAACAGTGCAGCCCTGGAAGGCGTTGACGACATTGGATGGGCATACCAAGCCCTGACCAGGGTTGGAGAAAATGGTCTTGTACAAGCCTGGAACGTCGACACGGCTGAGTTCTGTGCCCTCCAGCCACTCCGGCCGTGTACGACCACCGGTAATGTAGTATGATGGGCCTCCCTGCTCTAGGAGAAGAGTCCTCTTTCCAGCCTCACTCATGCGGTCTGCTGTAACGATACCAGCTGGTCCGGAACCTACAGCATGTCAGTTTCATCGCCAAAAGTCAAAGTACAAGTTCCGAGTCTTACCAACAACAATGACATCCCACTCGCCGCCAGGACAACTCGAAGCAGAGGCGGAGCCAACCAATAAGGCGGCAGCAACCACCGCATTCCAAGTATAAATCGCCATTATTAAAGAATTAAGAGTAAGTATGATTACAGCTTTAAAACGCTGAAGTTGCTATATCCGTCATTTCCAAAGGCCAAGAGGGCTCTCTTTAAGCAACTTTCCCATCCAGCGCTAAACCCGGACCGCCTTCCTCGGGACCGGGGGGGGGGGGTGGTTGGGGCCAACAAAAAGGAAACAGAAAGCACGGTGGTTGCAGCGTTGCCACCTATTTCCAGGCAAATTTGCAACAAGAGGGTTGAAGCCGCCGCCCCCGAATACGAAAAGCAACGATACCATGGCACCCTTTCGGCACGACAGAGTCCGTGCGTAATGCTTAATTTAAAGTCCGGCGAGCGGGCACCATGCCTTGTCGGATGGAAGCGTCAGTGCACTGATCGCTTATCGACATAACACAAGGATATTGAGTCGTTTTGCTAGCAGAGTCCCTTGCGCCACAGCCTCCACAGCGTGGCTATTCATGGATATGACGATGGGGGCTTAGAAATAGGGCGGGCGGGCGGCGATGGAGTTGGGCTAGTAAACGTCGTAAATGCCGTCATATGAAGGTACGACTAAAAACTTTAATTTGCGGCGCTATGCTGAACTGGGGACGATGTACAAAGACATATCTCGACCTCTTTCTGGGTACCTTGAGGAAATGGCTCAAACAGTTTTTTTTTTGATCAGAGAATATGAACAAGGTACATTTGCTGTTGTAAGCATAGTAGCATATGGACATATCCACATCTTCCTTGTGTGGGCCTCCAGCAAGGAAGTTATCGTGACTAACACGGGATAGGATAGTGTAGCAAACCCTATTCGACATCTGGTCTAGCCTACTTTAGGTTCCGCACCATTCTGACACCTCTTTCTCCCTCCGTAATTCCACTATTATCAGCACACTTACAACCAGAAACAACGGCCTCTGAGAAAAACTCCCTTGTTGTAATTATAACGTCTCCACTGCAACAACAAAACACGCGCCGTTAAATGAAGGTTTGTTTGCTCATGGGTTGTACTCAGACAGAATAAAAGGGGGGGGGGGGGTTAAGGTAATTTGGGTCATCGTACAGGGCAGATCCCGTAGTACCGCGTTGTGTCGCATTTCCCGATCGGTCCGACCGGACAAAACCTAATGCGAAGACAGCAACACGACCAAGTTAATCTCGTTACTTGCGGATCTATTCTTTGAGTTCTTACATCATACTACAATTTAATATTACGTGAGCACAAGCTCAGTAGCCTCTCTATGCAGATATGTATTTGTTATTATTATTTTTTCTTTTCAGCTGTTGGAAATCAGGAATGTAAAGGTTGCTCAAACGGTGCAAGAAGGCGGGGCTTGGAAGCAGTGTAGTAAAGTGGACGTGGAGGTAAGGTTCTAGATGGCAAGCATTAAATGTCAAAGCATGGACGATCGCAATTCACTCGACTGCCGGATGCCGAGAATACGCCACGTGAGTGTGGCGGTCTATGCGCACTGCTCTGAGTGTTCTACCTAGCTTCAAGTGTACTTAGCAGTCGGAGTTCATTGTGTTATGAACCATGGAGTCTTGATGACACGAGGTATTTTATACTTATACGAGTAATAATACGGTGTGCTTACGGGAATACGGGCTTGCGTCATCACTTATTCGTTAAAGCGATTAGAGGTACGGAGGTGTACTGAAATAGAGAGCAAATTGATGTGTGTGGAACAGCCTATACGCACCATCTACAGAAGAACTATTCTAGTAGTCGATGTATACTACCACGGAAAAGCCGCCTATGCCGCACTTGCTAGCACCGGTTCAGCCTGAACAGCCGGTTTCTTTGTGATTTTCATCTTTTTTGTCTTCTTGCCTTTTTTGACGGGTACCACTTCACTCGTACTAGCTGATGCCTGCCCAGTTTCGGCATTCGCATCGTTTCCGGCTGTAGTCTTGGGATCAGATGCGCCCGCCATCTGCTCAAACTGTGTTACAGAGTCGGTACGAACAAGACCGGTCAGCTTCGGCTCTTCCTTTGGAGACGCGCTGATTGGCGCTTCTTGCTCTGCTTTCTTGTACATCTGCTCCCACTTCATGCTGGTCATCAATCCCAAGCCATCTGTGAACGACTCAGGCGTAGCAAGGAATTGTGGGTTGGACGCGGTGGCTCCCACTTCACCAGAGACATCTAGTACACTCTCCGCAACGAGTGCATTCTTGGTAGGCTCTTCAACGAGTGACTGAGGTTCTGCTACATCTTCTCGTTTGCTGTTGCTGGCATCCTCACTCTCGATAGCAATTCCAGGGTCCACATTCCCATGCGACTCAGAAATGTCTGGCACAGGCTCCAATGTGTGAGCGACGACACTGTCAGCCCTGACTATCGGCGTTGATGTCGGCGTGGCCGGCTTTGGAACATAGTTACTCATCATGGTTTTCCAGACGAGCTGCAGCAGTCTGCTGCTGCCCTCAACTGTCGTGATGAAGTCTGGTTTTCGAAATGGGGTAGGGTCTTCCGTTACGGCATTGCGGAGCGCATCTTCAATATATGCTGGATACCATGCATCGTCTTCGGGCAGCAATGGAAAGGCATGTTGTCTTGCTACTGCAAGCATGTCGAAGATGGTCACATCTTCTCCAAACAATTTGATCTTGGTCTGTGCAAGCTCTGCGAGGCCTGGTAGCCTATAGCGTACGGCGGCGCAATACACGCATACACTAAGCTTGTAGCTTTCGGGAATGATCTTGTCCGAACCAGCATGTACGCCAAGAGTCTGGTATTTACCAGTGTACAGATAATGTACTAGAGTATGCGCAGTTGCTAGGTCGAGCTCCGGTAAGGGTACAGATTGCTTGATGAAAGATGGGTTGTAGGACCTTGCAAGTACTTCGCTTCGGCTCAAGATGCTCTCGTGGACTAGAAAGCGAACTGCTTCGGGCCCCACTTCCAGCACAGCTATGTGTGTAGAGGCATATGGACTCGAAAGCCAAATGTCAGTCCGCTATTGACGTAAATAGCCCAGATAAACTTACGACCTGTCCTCTGCGCTAATGGCTAGGTCTCCAAAACCATGCAAGTAATCACCCGTTCCATCTTGCTCATGCGACACGCCGAGGGTAGAGTTGTCGCTGATTGACATGTTGTACTAGCCTCAAAGTGACAATTGCTTCTGACTCTAGAAGGCCCGTTTAGACAGCTCCATTTATCATAGACTTCAAAAATGAGGCTCGAACATATGCGCTGTCAAATTGCCACATTCGCAGAGTATGTATGCACTTCTGAGTTGTCAGTGCTACGATGAATTTCAGCACTCAAGATACGGTAATCCTGTTGGTCAGCCTGGTCGTCCTTCACTGCACCCCGCGAACGGTGGGTCCAATGACACAAGAGACGGCGCAGAGCCGAACAACATCGGTAAGATCGGGCTCGGATGCACTGTCGTTAAAGCCTCAGCCTGATTTTTTGATGCACAAGACCCCTCTCGCATCCTGCAGTTCACGTCGGTATCGCTCTAGAATTGAGTCGTAGAAGTGGGGGCTATAGAAAACCCAAAGGTATGCTTCCATAGACAATGTACTACGTGTTCAGCGTTATCGCACCTGTTCTCACTTCAGGCTCGTGTAGAATGATCTGCGCCTCCTGCATCATCGCTGTAGTATTCTTCATCGTCTGGACTCAATCTTCGCGCCATTTCGTATTCCTCAGCATTGTGTACCTCCTTGACGGGGCTGTCATTGATATTCTTGAACATCCGGTAAAAGATGATGCCGGTAATTGCAGCAGCACTTGCCAAGCCAAAGTACAGCCATTGCTGGTGGGGGTCCCTCGCCAGAGGCGCGATCAGTATGCCTAATGCACTGCCCCCAGCGCTTGTGAGAAGAAACAAGCTCATGATAAAGCTTTTCATATTCTCTGGCGCTTTCGCATATGCCAGCTCCAACCCCGTGATACTGGCGAGAATTTCGCTAAGAGCAACGAGCACATATGCTGGTGCTTGCCACGCAACGTGGATTTCGTTTGGCTTGAACCTTCCCTCCCCTATTTTGCCCGCGTTGCAGTTTGAAGGGCTGTAATAGCATGGCGGTGCTGCGTAGATGTATGTTTGGAGGATGCCAGCATACAACATAGCCAGTGCAGCCACCAAGAAGCCAAGCGAAATGCGCGTTATCGGCTGGAAGGCAAGGTGCAGGCGGGTACGGATGAAAGGGTAGATGAAGCGGTCCATAAGTGGAATTAGTATGATGATCGTGATGGGATCGATATTGGGAAGAATGTCGTTTGGAAGACCGTGCAGCTCCATTTGTCCAGCTTGCGAGATAAAGTTATTCATCATCTGCGAGAACGTGACCCAGTAAATAGGAAAGAACAAGAAAACTTTGCACGCCACCAGTGCTGTCTTTAGTTCTTCAACAAACTTGTCGTCCCAGGTCACTCTTGACTTGAGTCTTCCATGTCCTTGGGCTGAGGCTTTCGCTTTGTTAAGGTCGCCGCCATTCCTTGCAGCAATGTACAGAGCCCGGAAGCAATTGCCAATAACACCACCTTGAGGCGGTTTGATGATATATTGCTTCTTCCCTCTTACCAGTATCACATAACCGACGCAAAACATGATCAGTGGTAAAAGGTATGCGCTCCAGAAACCAACATGCAACTCCAGCATTGTGGTTGCGACTGCAGATATCGAACCAACGTTTATGCACATGTAGAAAACCATGTAGATCCTCTGTACCGTGAGCTCTGGGTCGACAATGACCTTTTTCCCACTCGGCAGAGTTTTGACAAAGGGCTTGTTGGACCGAACTTGCTCTGCGATCAACGGTGACACATTACTTTTGATACCACCCGTACCGAGTCCAATGATTAACATGGCAACAACAAGCCCGGGGAAGGCGGCCCCACTCCGGATAGCCCACGGCAAGCTCGTCAAAAAGAGAATTGTGATCCCGCCCATGTAAATCAAACTGAACCATTTGATTGTTGCGTACTTGCCGAGATACTGGTCCGCAATAATGGCTCCGAACAAAGGCGTTAGATAGCACCAAAACTGGAAAAAGTTGGTCATTGCAGTAGCGCCTGACTGTTTTAGGCCAAGAGCTCCAGGAAGACCGTTGGCATCGTTGTATCCGTTGGCGATATAGTTTTGGAATGGTCCGGATAAGCCATAGTAGGCAAAGCGCTCACATAGCTCCACGATAGCTACCAGGAAGGCACCACGAGGAAGAGTGTCAGCTACTCGCGGAAGAAAGAGGTCGTCTTCTGGTGTGGGAACAGCTCCGATGTGAACGGGCGGTTCAAAACTTGTCTCCTCCGAGCCCTCATCTGCGATTTTGCCGTGAACAGTCAACCTTGCGCTGGCATCATCGGTTTGTGCAACGGTCGTGTATGCACCTCTGTTTTCGGCGTCTCGACTCCGCGAGGATGCCATGTTGAAAGTGGATTTCGTCCTTTGCTACTCCGGTGTACCACGGCTTTCCTCCTCTTGTATTTCCCCTTGTACCTGCCCTGATCTGCAGTTGAAATGGTTCACTGCAAACTGTATACGCTATAGTTTCATCGCATGATTGATAGAAACATGGGTTATGTGAATGCACGCATAGTGAAGGCGGTATATCTGAAGAGTTTGAAGAATGGAATCTGAATTGTAGTCCATGAAGACACGCGTTCACGAAGTGAGACGGTGCTCGCGTCGAACTAAGCCGAATGGAGCACTGAATAGCCCCACCATCTTTCACAAGCGCGGAACATCGGAATACATCGACTGTTGTGAATGCTACAACATTGTCTCATCGAAACCAGAGTCTGACCTTCATTTCTTGTCTGCAAAGAATCCAAGCAACTTCCCCTCCACATCTCTCACCCCCAGCCCACCAGTCAGACTACCCCTAATCCACCTGGGTAACTTATCTTGTATCCGCTTGCTCCCATACCGTCTGTCCAACATCAAGATGGCCGCATAATCACCTTTGTGTCTGATAGCCCGTCCTACACATTGATTGACAGAGCGCATGCATGCATTCTCGTAAAACTCGCGCGCTGCGGCCTTGCCATCACCACCATGTTTTGCTTCTTTGGCAGCGATATACTGCATCTTTGCTTTCCACTCTGCTGAATGCGCGTTTGGAAATGGAAGGCCGACAACGACAACACCTCGACCCAGTGCGTCACTGAAGTTGATGCCCTCGGACAGTGTTCCACCAATAACGGCAAAGAGCAGCGCACCTCGGCCGTTACCAGATGCGATTGCCGCACTGTAGGCATTGAGAACCGAGTCGACAGCTGCCTCCTTGACTGCCGAGGATGCATCTAAATTCTGTTGTTGACTGCGCTGCTCTAAGAACACGGGCTTGCTGCTTTTGAAAGCATCCCAGAAGGTGGTGTTGGACTGTGCAGGCTTGAGGCGCTTCCACGCCGCGATACAGGTGTCCAGATACGAATAGCTGGGGAAGAAGACTACCACTCCATCGGGTATGTCTCGCGCAAATCCCGAAATAGCAGCCCCGAGGTCAATTATTGTCTTTTCTTTGTTGCGATTATCAAACGTAAAATCGAACTCGGCACCACTAGTCGCTCGTACAACCGGTACAGCAAGCAGGTTCGAAGGCGGTATAACATGCCCACAGGACAGGGTTTTGATCTTCGAAGGCTCCAGATATGATAGCAGATGCTGCTCATAGTCGCTCATTGGGGACATTGTACCGCCTGCAAGTACTACTGCTCTTGCTTCTTCAACGACATCTTTGAAATGAAACGTGGGGTCGAGAAGCATGTATCGCAGCGTTGTTACGCCATCCTCCTTTGAGTAGAAGAATCGGCCTTCCGCAGAAGGGTTCATCAAGGAGAGCAGAAAAGCTTGTACATGCATGAGCACAGGAACACTGTGACGGGGCCCCTTCTTGGACACTTGCTTTGTCGGCTCATCAACTGTTTGCTCAGCGTATGCGGTATATCCATCAACCTTTCGAGCAAGTCTGCTTTCTTGGAGGTATGCATTGAGCTTGAAAACGTTGATCTGGTCTACGCCCTTTCCGGACATTATAGATACCATGTCAACCAGGCCATCAGTCGCCTTTGGGTCAGCGTCGATGGACTGCAAATATGCAAGGATTGAATCTAGGATCCTGACTGTCTGGGCAACGTAGACTCGGTTCTTTCCTTTCAGCTTGTTGCGAAACTTTTGAAGATAGGCTGTAAGCTGGGCGCGTGCTTGTTGAACTTGGCCGAGCGTTACAGAAACAGAGTAAATGCCTGCTATAGCGTCCATCAAGTTGTGCGCTTCGTCAATAATGACGACATGATCTTTAAGAGATAGTCCAAGTGCCTCGCGAGCAGTGCGCTGTAAAAGCAACGGATACGGCAATGTCACAATCTACGCTCGTTAGTACACCGATGTTTGTCGAATTGGTCGAAAATCAAGCTCACCTCGCAGTACTTTGTCGCTGGTCTTGAAGCATAGTAAGGACATACTCCCAGCTTCTTGCCCAGCAATCCGAGATCCTCAATGTCCCTAATCTTTGCAAGCGCATGATCACGGAAGTCGTTTATTAGGGGCTCTTGTTCTTTACTCGGCATATGGGGACATCGGCTTTCGGCACTGCTATTCTGTTGTAGCTCTAGGCATCGTTCGTTGATAGCAGTAGCGCTTCCCAGCTTATTCACTTTACCATTAATACACAAATTCTTCCTTGATCCGAGTGTAAGGTGCTTGACATCTTCGACGAGTGAATCTATATCAGCGCCGTTCGTATCATCGTCTAGAGCAATAGCAGGCGGCATCTTGACCCGGCCCAACTCACTCGAAAACTGTGTCAGTTGAGAGTGCGTCCGGGAACAGAAAAATATCTTTGTCTCGTCGGGTACCTCCCCATCGTCGTTCTTCGGCGCGTCGTCAGTATATCCTAATGATGCCATCAACGCCTGTGTTTCTGCCGATAGCCCAGACTCATTAAAGGTACCGCCTCGTGCCCGCTTTTGAGATTCTTGGTCGCTTTCATAGTCGTCAAGCACGAATTGTGCTTCATCGTCATCGTTCGTTTCACCCGGCACAACCTTCCGTCTCTTGTAACTTGATTCGCCATTCTCGTAGCGCTCTTTTGCACGCTTCTCCTTTGCTTTGATTTTTGCAATGCGTTCATTCAACTCTTGTTTGCGACGAAGTGCTTCTTGCTTACGCTGCTTCTGTGCATGTTCGACGATCCACGATGGCTCTTCGCTATTCGCTGCATCGGCTGCAAATCCTTCTTCGAAAGTCTTCCTTTTATGGTCTCTCAACCATGTCAAGGAGCCGCAGATCAGGCTCAGCGACTTGCCTGTCCCGGTCGGTGATTCAAAGATGCCGACCTGGCCATTTTCTAAACATTCGTATACAGCGCCCATGAATTCATTTTGTATGTCATAGGGCGTGTAGGGGTGGTGAAAGTCCCGTTGCTCGGCTTTGCTGACCATTTTGAAAACGTATACCAATGAATGAATGTAAGTAGTTGAAAGACGCGACGCGTTCACGAAAACGGGTGTTCACGTGCCGCGCTAAGTGCTCACTAGCGTACGAACGACCAAGCAGTCCTATTATATGTACATGAATAGATTGCAAGCGAAACAGAACATGTTCAACTGCCTCTGGCACGTGGTTTAATGGCCATGCGGTTTATGGGGGAAGGACTGCGGGGAGGTCCAATAGAATGCAACAACATGTAGGAATCAGCGCTATATAATATCGTAGGCACTTCAGCATCGTTTTCTCAAAAGATGTTTCCAACAAAGATCTTCATATCGCTTGTATTGGAACTCTGTAGAAACATCGAGATCCGGGTATCATTTGCCTGTCCTTGTACTCTCTTTGTCGTGAAGCATCAAGACTCTTCACTGCCACCCCTGCTTACTTCCCGTGCAATAAACGCATCAGGATCCACCGGACAGCTTTTGACATCTACCTTGTGCTTGTCCGCCCATGCCCTGACTTTTGCCTTGTTGATTACGGCATCTGCGCCGCCTTTCTTCTTCTGTTCGAGAACGTCCATCATCTGCAAGGTTGCGATGATGTCCTCGGGCACAATGTACGTCTTTTCGCGAAGCTCTTGCACGGTGAGTGTCTTCTTGGACGGACATGAGAGGAGGGTACGAGCAATTGTTTGCGACCAATAGTGATTGTAAGCAATACGGCCGAGATCGGACAGCGCTGTCGTGATGTTAGCACTGGCCGGTGTCTAAGAGGACAGACCAGGAACGGCTTACGCTTCTCAGGACCACCCAGTCTCTCCTCTCGCCTACTCATTTCATAGCTTGCACCCATCAATAGCTGACCCAATCCTTGCTTCTGCCATGGTGGGAAGACCAATATACATGCTAGGTTATTATTGTCCCAACTCATCTTCTCCTTGCTGAAGAAGCCCACGACCTGCCCCTGTGTCCTGACTCCGCTCGGCGGCGTCTCTTCATCAAGGCTAGTGTTGGGTATGCTAGGCGTGGGGTTGTGCGCAACTAGGAGATAGTACAAGAAGGTTGTGACGTCGTAGAAGACCGATTTGGTGTCGAGGAAGAGCTTCGCAAAGAGCGATAGGTTCTGCGCATAAAGCTTATTCTTCTCGCCATCGATTTCATAGAGGGAATAGTTGTCTTTTGTGTAGACGTTAATGCCCGGGGGTGGAGTGTTGCGAAGGGGACATGCTTTCTGAGGCGTATCAGCTCAACCGGTCTTTCTAAACCACGCAAGTCCTTCAGGCGTACCAGATGGCCCAAGAAGCCAACAAGCTCCTTGCTATACTTGAAGCACCACTGGCACACGTAGAGCCGTTCGACGCGCCTTCCCACCAGTTCTTCTGGGTAGAAGGACGGGTACCATGGCTTGATCAGCAGCGAGCCGAGCACAACCTCGAGGACGTTAGGGCCCGTGGGCGGTTTCTGTGAGTTCTTGAGTGCGGGGGTGGTGGGCGTCGATGTCATGGAGGCTACATCGGGGGCCATTGAACAGGTGCTGACGCGCAGAGGGCTCGTTTCACATGCTGCTATGCTGCCGTGGGGTGACGCGGAGCCCGCAAGCATTGTTAGCGCGACGCGGCTGCACGTGACCGTGTCTTCCCATGTGTAGTTCGTATATTTTATCTACTAAGGGCAACGAGCATGATGACCCCTAGAAGCTACTTCTTTACATTCTCGCATAAAGACCCACGAGGAAGATCTTTTTCCTAAAAGCATCCTGATTTTGAACCTCGCAGCCACGCCATAGGTACCCTCGCTCACTTCTTGTTCGGACTTGCCGGAGGAGTAAAGATTCCTGAAGATCTTGTTGTATCCTGCATTCCGCACTGGTACGAGTGCAGTGCTTTGAGTACAGCCTTGTTCTCTGAGTAGTAATCCCACGCATCTTCGTCTTGCATGATCGCTGGCAAGCGGGCGTGCAGCTGCAGGATGATTGCGTTGCGGAGACCATGATCCAATTCTGCGCCGACGTCGCCATGGATATCTGCAGCCAGATAGACTATAGTCAGAGGATCTTGAATGAAGGGAATACGATCGATAATTGTCTTCGAAACTTTTTGCTTGATTGATTCGAGGTTGTACTGCACACGTTGTCAGAACTGTAAATCATAAGAATTGTGGAGGGAGCTTGACCTTATCACATGCGATGAAGAGGGCCAACAAATCGCGCATGATGCAGTCTTTCTCAAATGCGTCTCTGAGCGCAAAGCTGCTAAAAATTGATCCTGTGGTTGGGTTGGACACTCCATATATCTCCTTGAGCATTGTGCTCACTGTCTGGCTGTCCTCGGGCAGTGTGATAGAGCGCTGGCTGGTTTCCTTCAGAACGTTAGCAGGGCTCAGGTGCCTTGTATAGCGCACACATGTCTCTTACTGCAAAGTTTCCATCACAAACCGCGTTGAAGTACTGCGATCGTGTGCAGAGCCTAGCTGATGTGTCAGCTACGTCGACAAAGTAAGAGACATTGTGCTTACAAGACGCGATGAGCTTGGAATACCCTACCGACAGCGACGATGGTAAAGTCGGTACATTTACCAGCCTTGTAGATACTACGACCGTTAGTTGGGACTATGAGGGTTTTAGTTAAGTACTTACCGGGCCCATTCTGATGCGTTCTCGTTCGGAGCTGCCACCCACAATCGACATTTCTGGTTGGTATAGCCCTCCTTCTCCATATTGAAGTCAGCACGGGCTAGTGCAGCATTGCTATATAAGTGCATCAGTATTGCTAGAATATGAGTGAAAAAGGTTATACATACGAAACAGCTTCATGGACTTCAAAGTAGGAATTGCCAACTGTGGTGGCAATCCGCCCAAGCGCATGCACAAAGTCCCCGGCATCCGCACTAGTCGTGAAGTACAGGTCGACCTGCATATGTGGCATAAGTACGCAAACTTTCTTGCACGAGTTGTTGAAGCGAGTGCAGACTGCGCGCGCCTTGGAGACCTGGAAGTAGATCGGCTCCTCAGTATCGGGGAATTGTGCCATTACAGTAACACCAGGTTCGGTCTGGTACGCCAGCCCAAACTCAGAGTTAGCACGATCAAGCACCAGCTGCGCTCGGCCTGACGATTCGACATCGTGACTGACGGTAAATGATTGCAATTGCCAAGTAACCGGGCCCTGATCATTGTCGAGGGATAGAATTGAAGAGGTCATGGCTGCTGATAGACCTGGGTACTGGAGAATAGTAAGTTATACGAGATCGACGACGGAAGCCTTCAGATTGTAAGTAACAGTAGGTAATAAGGTTTAGCTGGACTTAGAACTGGAGTATGTTAGAGTCCTGTCAACGTACATATTGGTGAGATGGTACCTGAGCGGTGAGAGGTGAGACTCCGATAGGTAAGTGAGTCCATAACATGGTTTCTGCATCAAGATGAGGTGAGAGAGAGACTCCACTACCCACTGTCAATGTTTCGGGGTAACTTATTGATTGTGAGAGAAAAAAAAACCTCCTAAAAACTTAGTGCTTGGCAAGCACAGCTATGGCAGAAGCAATCTAGACACTCGTGCTGCCCCTCGCAGCACCATACATAAGGATCCCAATGACACCAAACATTGGCATTGATTCATTACTTTTCAATTTAAAAAAAACTTTTTCACCTAAACCTCCAACCCATCTACTCCTGCCAACTCTCCCACCCCTCCTCCCTCCACACCCCACTCTTTCCACCTTCCTTAAATACCACTCTCACCCCATCCACTCTCTGGAATCGATCCACCGCCTTGCACATGTCAACCACACTCAGCGCCGCACCCATAACCGCCGTCAGTGCTTCCATCTCCACGCCCGTCTGTCCCGTACACTGGACTTTGGCTTCGATTTTCACGCCTCCATGTCCGTCGGAGAAAGGGGCAAGTTCGACGCTGACATGGGTTAGTGGGATGGGATGGCATAGGGGAACTAGATCGGGGCATTTTTTGGCTGCCATTATGCCTGCTATGCGGGATACGCCTAGGACGTCGCCCTTTTTGGCGGTGTTGGAGCGGATGAGGGAGAGAGGGGTTGAGTTTGTGAAGTGGACCGAGCCGATGGCAATGGCGGTGCGGATGGTGTGCTGTTTCGTAGATACGGATACCATGTGTGCTGAGCCCGAGGGGGTAAGGTGTGGTAGGTATGGCTCTGGTAATTCTCTCCCGTCGTCTTTTTCCTTCTCTTTTTGCTGTGATGCGAGGTCGAGATCTGGTAATATGGATCGCGAAGAGGTCGAGTACATTTTGCGCGCAGTGGAGTCATGAAAAACTTGGCTGTCTAAATCTCTGTGTAGACTTGGTCTCTTGTTCGTGCTTGAGAGCGTCGTTGGTAGCGGCCTGGCTTCTGCTTGCCCTTGTTGTGACGGCACCTCGGACTCCGTCTCACTGGTCAAGAATCCCAGGCCTTCAGCTTGAAACTCATCCCAGTTTATTGCTCCCTCTGCATCTCCATGCATTGCGCCTCTATTATCAAAGACTTGGTACCACCGCACTGCCATTCGTTCCGCAGCTTCGTTGCTGAGATCGTGATCGCGAACCATTCGATCAAGTACAGCTTGAATTCGCCCATCCATAATGTCTTTCTCTACCTGACCAATGGTGTCAAATCGGGTCTGCCATTTCTTTACCAAGATCTTGAGCCACGTCTGCAGTGTCGCTTTGTTCTGGCTGGTCCATACATCATATGGCAGCGTGTCGATACGCGGATATGAGTTTTTGAGGCGCTGAGCCATTTCGAACACATATGATTGAAGTTCTGGGACCGATCCCTCAAATATGACAATGAGATTCTCGTCAATAGGAATAAACCCGGAAGTGGGAACCTGCAAACGCAGGCTATCACTCGGCCTAGATGCAGTAGAAATGACCGAATTCATGTCTTTGCCATTTGTGTCTTGGTCTTGGTCTTCGGACCTTGATCGAGATACCGAGCCTATTCCAGGCCTCTGCAGTTGTATAGTGGTACCCTCCTTTACCTGTGCTGTTGCCCGTATGTTCTCGGAATTAAGACCTGTACTTTGTAGCTTTGGCTCCCCCCAGCCCCTGCCAACCATCTTCATTGCTTGGTCGAGTATTAAGTCCAAACTCTTCGAAGTAGGCTGATTCTCCCGATCATTGGCGTCCACGGTTTTAGGAATCCTCTTGGCCTCCGGCTCTTCATTCTCTTCAAGCTGCTTCAGTAGCAAGCGCTTCTTCGACAAAATCGCTTCCTTTCGTGTTTTGATTTCTTCCAGTTGTTGAGCTTGTTCGCGAATTTCGTTGACTTGTTGCTTATAGGTATGAAGCAGTCGGTCGACCTCGTCAATCTCTTGCACATGCCTGATAGTATCGATTGTTACTCCGCTCGACTTTCCTGCACTCGTTTCGGCCAGCTTCCCCTCTTCGCGCCGTGTTATGCGAGCCCGCAACTTATCAATCTTATCCTCGGTCTTCTTCAACGCCCTCTGGATCTCGGAAGGTATCTTGACCTCCTCTAGGAATGCTTTGAGAGTTTTTATTTTTTCTGCCTGGCGTTGCAGCATTGTATCTTTATTCTTTTCTGCTGCATCTTGTCGTATTCGATCGGCAATCATTTGAGCGTCTTTCATGATCAGTCTGTGGTCCACTCCCGTTAATCCCCGAGTCAAGGTTAGCAGCTTAGAATGGGCTTTCACATTGAGAAATTTGAATCTTGTACCAGTGCCAGACTTGAGCTTCGTGTCCGCAACCATTCTCCAGTATATATCGTACTTTCTATCAGTCAATCCATACTTCCGTCGCACTTCCTCAAGGTTCGGTGGTAGAGTGCCTTTTCCGGGGCCGAACTGAGAAACGTTGTCTAACATGTTCACGTATCCGTCACCATGCTTGAGCTTGATCCGTGATCTAGGATGTGTCCCTTGCCTCCGAGGTCGCTGTGCAAGTGGCTTGGAAGTGGAGAAGGCCCGAACAATGTTTGTGGACTGCAACGTTGAGGAATGCAGATGCAGCATTGAGGCTTGAAGAACGTTTGACGCTAGAGAGAATATATGGGAACTCTTTGCACTCGGATGCAGGGTTTGTAGAGGAGATGGTCGCCATGAACCTACGTCTGCCAATGGCTTTGCACCTACATGCAGTCAGCAATGCACATCACACACACACATACAAAAATGATATGTAGACATAAAAGAGAATGTCATTCGAGTATGTAGTTGGGGCACGATGATGCGCCAAGAGATAATATAGACTCACAATGAAGGAGAACGCTCAAAACTCCATTCATGTAACGGCCGTCATATCACAACAAGCCTCCAAGCGATCTGAGATGATTAAGAAGAGGAAAAGGGGACCACGATCACCCACCAATTAAGATCATAGGCCTGTTCTCCATGCTGGCGAGATCTTCCAGATCAGCGTGCTTTTCTGCTTTGCGCTTTACAGCTGCTCCCACAACTTCGAGCAATTCGCGTTCTCGCTGGCCCCAGCCAAGTATAGTATCATCGCTCAGACGGCCATCATGACGGTCCATTTCGACTTTCCTGATACGTTCAAATGCTTCTTGATCGATGGGTTCACCGTTGTTACCCTGCCGCAGTACGTCGCGCAACGATACCTCGGCGTTTCCATGTAAGCACACCTTCAGATTGCCGTCACTTGTTATGCGCAGTCGATTACAAGAGCCGCAAAAATCGTTGGTCATGCTTGTAATGAAGCCGACCTTGCCTACAAAGCCAGGGACCTCGTACGTCTTGCTTGTGTCGTTCTTGTGACCCGGAACTGGCCTGAGCCCTGGATATTTTACGCGGATGATGTCCAACATTTCTTGGAAGCTGATCATCTTGTTCTCACTCCACTTGTTACCGCCAAAGGGCATGTATTCTATGAAACGCACTTCAATGTCTTTCTCGCGGCCCATCTCAACAAAGGGTAGGATCTCGCGCTCGTTCAGGCCACGCATGACAACACAGTTGACCTTGAGTTTCACGTTTGCTCCCAACTTGTTCATCTCGAGTATGCGGTCGATCGACTTCATGACCGCATCGAAACCTTTTCGCCTCGTCATGATCTGAAACTGAAACGGATCCAAGGTATCTAGACTCAGATTGACGCCTGTCAAACCAGCCTCGACCATGGCGTCGAGTTTCCGGTGCAGCGATATGCCGTTGGTGGTGAGGGCGAGCTCGCGCAGGCCTTTGGGGCGCAGACTACCGATTTGCTGCATGAGAGGCACTATGTCGCGGCGAACGGTGGGTTCACCCCCGGTAAGGCGGATCTTAGTCACACCTTGCGACACAAATAGCGACGAGAGGTAGAAGATTTCGGGTGTGGTGAGCATGTTAGCGGACGGCGACAGCGGAACGCCCTCTGTTCTTCGTCAGTTAATTTTTTTGTCGAGTCGTGTTCAAGGCACACCTTCAGGCATGCAGTACAGACATCGCAGATTGCAGCGCTCTGTGATGCTGATGCGCAGATAGTCATGCTGCCGGTTGAACGTGTCGGTCAAAAAGGCAGAGAAAGGCTTCGCGTTCTTGATTGCTGCTCTCCGGTCCTCGCCGCCCGATCGCTGTGGTATCGGTACCGGGTCGATACCTGGGAGAAACTCGGAAGCAGACTCTCGTGTTTCTGTATCTGTCGCAATACATCTTGTCCGTATGGCGGAAATGGGCGATCGTGCAGATAGTTCGCCACGGCCAGCGACTCTTCGCAATGTTTGGGGACCCGCCCGTACCCTAGCCATGTGCGCCATCATACCGAGTCGAGTCTGGAGAAACCGTGCCCAACATCTGGAGGGGCGAACATGGGAAAGCTATATAAGCCAGTGGGCAGTAGGGCGGAGACGACTGAGATGTGAACTGGTTTAGTGGGCTGTCCGAGGCCCATGCAGGGATCTGTAGTCGCACTTGGCAGCATTACTAAGGATTGTGCTCGCAACTGGTGGGGTATCTTCGCCAATGACAATCTGTTGATAATCGTATTCATTCAAGTCTGTTGCCACAGCGCCGTAGCCTACCTATTGTGCAGAGTGACATGTTCTCTCAAAGACTGACAGTGTGCAAAAATGAGTTTTGTAATATGACGCAACGATTCCGGCCTTACCCCTCTATGCCTGTCTTCATCATGTACAGTAGTGCTCGACAAAACACCAATACTAACTTACACAGTATCCGTTCAAGAAATGTTTACGCAAGTCTTACGTTCTTTTGTTATTTTTCACCAACTCGGCACTTGCACCTGACACACTACGTTCTTCGCCTTTCCCGTCTTTCATATTTCTTAACCAGAGCTTCGAATCTTTTTTTGCCTCGCTGCGACACGAATCGTAGCCGGGCATTGCATTGTCTTTGTAGACTTGCGCGCGCCGCTATCCGCTTGGCCTTGACTTTCCCCGCCAGTTTCTTTTGGATGGGCATGCAATAATCGCTGTGCGTCATCTTGACAGGGACACCACTTGTGGCCAGCTGTTGTTGATCCTGGTCGTGATATCTTCTCGTAGTGGGCATGCCTCCTCGCTCCCACACCATCTCCGGATGCCACTCCAAGCAACTCCCACACGTGATCTTCAAACATGGCCCTTCATAGTCGATATCATTCTTCCGCTTCCCTGTCCGTTTTCGTTGTATACCACCGTAATGAAAGCGGTAAAGCTTCGTATTACAATCTCTGGTTGTGCTTATCCTGCGGACACATTTCTTTTTTGTTGTGGGTTGATTGCTCTGGACATTGGAAGGATTGTAGGCATTCCAGATATGCTTTGGTATGATTATCTTCAACCCCATGATAACGTCTGTGGCAGACAGAGGACTGCTCTTTGCACAAAAGCACGAATGCGATCCAAAAGCATTCGTCTGATCGGCTTGCTGCACGTTCTATGTATATGTGCGCAAGCGATTGTCAGTCTCACGCTTGTGGTTTCATTTGCTCCTCATTGTTCTCATCCGCGTGACAAAGGATGAAGTACTTCCTGCGACTAACCAGACATTGTATGGAAGACGGACCCAGTAGAACATCTATTCGGAAAAAATTCAAACAATGTCTTTGATTGAGTCTATGAATCTTGAAAATGCAACGATGCGGCCATGCGCTGTGTAGAATACATGCAGAGATTGCGCTTCCGATTCTTAATCATAACACCTTTCCCAGAGTCCGCCACTTCGAGCAAAATTTTGGCTTTCGACAAACTTGCTCAGTGTGCACCTACCGAAACGGTCCCCGTCACAGAACTCCAGTGGTTGCACGCGGTCATTTACAATAACGCGGACCGATTCTTCTTTCTCGCCCTTGCATTGCAGCTTCTCGACATACAGGCGGGCGGCGAACGGCACTGTCCATGCAGCCGAGTAACCATGAGTCTGCTTAGTGTCTTCAATCGTAGTATTAGACAATGTCTTGGTCTTGTTGTACAGTCCAAGCGCAGCTAGAACACCACTAATGTCATTGTCGTGACTAAAATCAGCATATACTTTGCGGTCCAGAGGGAATGTCTTTGGATCCGAGTCAAGTGTGCGGTTCGTGTTGGTGTTATCTTCAACAGGCTTCTTTGTCAGGCGCGCCAACAGCTCGTTGACGTACCCAACGCCCTGCGTAGGCCCAAGTGGGTTTCCTACACTGTAGCCGTAGTACTTGCCCAGAGTCTGGAAGTAGTCATACTCACGCCATTCCTCGTCTGTGAACAGCTTACAAAACTCTGACAACTGCGCCGAAGGGTGTGCAAGGGTGTCGAAAGGGCACATGTCCATCATGTAGACAATAGAGGTCGCACTAAGATTGGTACCGAGAGCTGAGTTGACGCGATTCTGAATCGGCGGCACAAATTTGGCAGCCCAGATCTTCTGCGCTCGATCCCCCAGGCCATGGTTCGGCCCACCCTCGAAAGCAGGGCAGATATCGTGAGACAGTGTGTTGTTCCAGTTTCGGCCTTCTGGAATAACTAAATCAATCTTCTGGGGCTTTGTGTTCAACGATTGTGCAACGCCCATGAGCCAGCGCTCAGCCGACTCCACGACACGATGCTGGCCGCCCGCGCGGACAAATGGTGTGTTCTCGTCCATGAGTTTCTGGTACCGGCGGTAGAAGTGTGCGCCCGAGTTCACCATCTCTTGCCTTCCAGCATCCGTCAACTCATCCGCACCCAGTGCATAATCATAATCCTTTAAGAACTTGAATGCATCCGGGTACGATGTGCTCGTGTTCTGGATTTCGGCAATTAGGAGGTGGTAGGCTATCGATTTGCCAAACGTCGGGTCGCGGCCACCATGGCGGGAGAGGACGTTCGCGAAGGTGACTTCGCAGCCTTTGGGAGGAGCAACGTCTATCTCTGAGGGCACAGAATACCAAAGGGAATACTGGCCAAGGTAATGGGTTGTCTTGGGGCTGCAACGGTAGCCCTCGTCGATGGTGTCGCAGGACTTTGAGGTTGAGAATGGGAATAAGCTGATGGCAATTAGTGGAGGAGAACGGAAAGAATGGTCAGATGGCACATACTTGAAGAAGCCGTAGACGACTACACAGGCGCCAACTGCCTGAATTGCACGGCGACGTAGTCCTGTTGCTTCATTGTGGCGTCGCGACGGCTTTGACGTCAGCAGTTCCTTCTCGCTCATGGGCAGAGATGTATAGCTCTGGGGTCGGTTTCCGCGCATCCTGTTCCAAGGTTGCGACATGTATAGAGTGGTGGTGTATGTGGTAGTGCTGGACCGTCTTCAGCTGGACAAGTATGAGAGAGATGCGGAAACTGAAACCGTGACGCCTGTGCCGACCCAAAGGCAAGTCTCAGGACGCGCCAAGGCACCGTCTCTCCAGATTCCTGGCAAACAAGGCGCGCAACATCATTGTATGGAAAATGATGTGCAGCGATCCACGACCGGTGGAGACCAACATGGTGCTATTCACGGACAATGAGGTTACCCTGCTCTGGGCAATCAGTCGTTGCAGGGTGTTCGTGCCAAGACCGCTAGGGCAGCCGAATCAAAGCTTCGAGAAACCTCAACGCTCCCTATAGACGTTGACTTTACCTTTTTGTCGGTGCTAGGTAAAAAAATACACATCAACAAGGTCCACAAACGCTCTTGACGCTCTATCGGTACGGCGATACGGCGATGGCCGTAGTGCAGCCCGGTGTCGGATAATGCATGCTGCGGAGCGATGTAACGCCGTTCGGTCAGCACAAGATAATCGGCAACGCATCTCCTCATTGGCTATTACCCCGTCTTTTGACTGGGAACATATCTCCCTATCTGTAGTAGTAGGGTCCCTATCAAGCTTCGTCAAGCTTTAGCCACTCTGGTGGACATGCCTACTTCGGATAGCTGTGGGACTTGCCGCATGGCTGACGAAACCCGTCCCGTAGTATCTCCGCTGTCAAGGGACATTGTTCTTAAATAGTGTCGGCCTTTGCCTCACTCCAGCACGCGACCTTTTGACACTCTCACTGCGGGTTGAGCAGACACCATGAAGCCCAGCGAGCGACAAACTCTCGACGATGAGGCCCAGCTGCAAGGTACGTTTGGAACAGGCGTCATACTTCGGGAATATACATTGATTTAATCTTTCTACACAGCGCTTGGCCACAAGGGCGAGCTGCAACGCAACTTCAGTCTCTTGTCCATGCTGGGCCTGGCTTTCGCCATTCTGAATTCATGGACTGCCCTCTCTACGTCGCTCGGGCTTGCCTTGCCATCAGGTGGCTCAACAAGCGTCATCTGGGGTCTTCTCACAGCCGGGATTTGTAACTTAGCCTTAGCTTCGTCGCTCGCCGAGTTTCTCTCCGCGTATCCTACAGCCGGTGGACAGTAAGACTCGGCCGAGCACTGGTCTTGAATTACGCTAACCCAAGCAAAGATATCACTGGGTTGCTGCCATTACTCCGAAGAAATGGGTTCCACTCGCATCCTTCATCACTGGCTGGATTAACGTGTCAGGCTGGGTTGCCCTGACCACTTCCGGAAGCCTCCTTGCTTCGCAACTCATCTCTGGTCTTATCGCCCTTTGGCATCCAGACTTTAGTTTGCACCCGTGGCAAGTCTGGCTAATCTACGTAGCCTGGACCCTCATTGCATTTGTCATCAACGCCTTCATGAACAGCCTGCTGCCCTATGTCAACCGAACAGCATTTATCTGGTCTATCGGTGGTTTTGCAATCATCTGCATCACCGTTCTGGCCTGCGCTTCTCCCGACTTCGCTTCCGCCGAGTTCGTCTTCACTAAGTTTATCAACGAGACGGGCTGGCCAGATGGCATTGCTTGGCTTCTTGGATTGCTCCAGGGCGGATTTGGCTTGACCGGCTACGACGCCGTTGCCCATATGATTGAAGAGATTCCAAACGCGTCAGTCGAAGGCCCAAAGATTATGATCTACTGCGTCTTTATCGGCACTTTCACCGGCTTCATCTTCCTCATGGTTTTGCTCTTCGTTTCTGGAGGTGATGCCGCATCAATCATCTCAGCAGCACCCGGCCCACTCCTGCAAATCCTTTTCAACGCAACGAAAAGCCGGGCGGGAGCTACTTGTCTCTTGATGTTCCCATTGGTCTGTATTCTCTTCGCAGAAACTGCCATCATGACTACCTCAAGTCGCATGACTTATGCGTTTGCTCGTGACGGAGGACTACCATTTTCAAAGTTCTTCGCAAAGGTGCATCCGCGACTTGGTCAACCACTCAACGCATTGATCCTGGCCGCTACTTTGACGATTCTCTTTGGCCTGATCTTGATCGGCTCCAGCAGCGCTTTCAACGCCCTTATTTCTGCATCTGTCGTCGCTTTGGGTGTGAGTTACGCCATACCCGTTGCCATCAATCTTGTCCGCGGTAGAAAAATGCTGGGATCTAGACCTTTTGCCATGCCAGAACCTCTTGGCTGGGCGGCAAATATTATTGGTGTTGCGTATACCATTGTTACCACGGTGTTGTTCTTGTTCCCACCGGCGTTACCCGTCACAGCTTCAAATATGAGTAAGTATTTTTTCGATATGCTTGTAAGTGTTTATCTAACTGTATCTAGATTACTGTGTTGTCGCATTCGGCATCATCCTCTTCATCAGTACGTTCCAGTGGTTTGTAGATGGCCGCAAAAACTTTACAGGACCAAGAACAGATATGGGGCTTGAGGTTCTCGAAGCTATGAGGACTCATGAGCAGGATGGCGTGGAACCTGGACTGCCAAAAGCTGCCGATGATAAGGCAGATCCGCATACGATTAAGCCATAATGGGAAAATCACCTCCACTCTTGAATTCTATTCTTCTAAGATCAGAAATTTTGTACATTAATTCTTAGATCATCACTCTACATCTTCACGTGTTTGCTGGTTGTGAAAGGAGATTTTGTAGAGACGTTATTCATTCCATAACGCATGATTTATTCAGCCCTAATGACCAGTGTTTGGGCATGAGGCAATCGCTATTTTCTTCAATTCAAAGCTATACAGTCATCATGCTCATGATAGTGTATATGCCGAAATCTTGATTTCTTGACATTTCATGTCCCTTATCTATATCTGGTTTGCCGCACTGTAAGTTGCACGGAAAGGTTCCGCGAACAATTGCCGATGACGGAATGTGGAGTGACCCCGCGTCCTACGCGTCTTACTAGCCGCAAGATCATACCTCAGTAACTATTTATACCAGATTACATGTTTCTTGTACAAGCAACATATTGCACAATTGAACATTCGCAATGGCTGCTACCAAGGTTGCTCTTATCACGGCGAGCTCAGCGGGTCTGGGAGCCCAAATCGCCCGGGCACTCGCACCAGACTTCCGCGTCGTACGTTGAAACAGCTAATTCAGCCGCTGAGATATAGAAACTAACAAAGTCAGGTGATAAACTACTCTTCCAATTCAGACCGTGCGCAGTCCCTCATCAAAGAACTCACATCCATACCTGGCAGTTCCTCGGAGGCAAACCGACGCTTCCACCTCGTCCAAGCGGACATGTCGTCCAAGCCCTCCGTCCAGAGTCTCGTCAAAGAAACGCTCGAGAAAATGGGCAGACTAGATGTCGTAGTTTCCAACGCCGGCTGGACTCGCATGACGACCTTTACAGACATCGAGCAGCAAGTCAACGACGAAGACTGGGACAAGTGCTTCACCATGAACGTCAAGACGCACTTGTGGCTCGCATATGCCGCCAAAGATGCCTTGGCAGAAACAGAAGGCACATTCATCTCGACAGCGAGTATTGCCGGTGTCAAGCCCAGTGGAAGCAGTGTTCCCTATGCCGTCACCAAAGCCGCGCAGATTCACCTCATGAAAAGTCTGGCTATTATCCTAGCGCCCAAGATTCGGGTAAACAGTATTAGCCCTGGCATGCTGTTGACGGAGTGGGGTCTCAAGTTCCCAGAGTCGAAGCGCACTGCTTCTATCAACAATACAAAGTTGAAGAGGTTGGCAACAGTGGAGGATTGTGCCGAGCAGGTGAGGGTGTTGGCGCTGAGTCGGAGTATGACGGGGCAGAATATTTGTATTGATGGGGGGATGTCGGTATAGTGGGTAGTATGAAGTAAGTGCATGGGGATTTTGTGCACAAGAGGCTTCTTCTGGAAGATGGTATATGGAACTTCTGCTCCAAGTCGTTATATAAATGAGATATGATTTATGCGCGGAAATTCTCATTACGGTACCCAAACCTCTCATCGTACCTAGTGATATTTCTGTTCACCCTCGTCTCCCGCGTTGGGTCTAGGGTCGTTTTAATCACCTCTCAATGAAGCGACCGCGTCTTCATCCTTGTGGTACAGATCTTTGAGGTATTTCCTAGAGGCTCTGGAAACCTCCACAGTTGCCTGAGCGTGCTTTTGCTTGGTAACGATGCAACCGCGATTGTCTCTTTCCCCGCCGGTTTCTATCAATGACACGGCAATATGGAAGGCTGGAGCAGAAAAAGGTTGGTATCTATACACTGGAAGAGATACGAGGCAACCTGTAATGTACCATTTCTTATCTCACGCCCATTTCATTGCAGCGCCTTGAGCTCTTTGCAATCTTCGATATATGTTCGCGTTTTGTTGTGCACTCTAATCTCGCCCTCCATTTTGCTCTCTAGTTTTTGGAAAAACGACTCCCAGACTTCTGCTCTGGCCTTGTCGAAGAATGCTGGGCAGTATGTCGTCAGATTGATTCTTGACATGAAAGCTTCGTCAAACATGCCCACTCTGTTTATGGTGAGAAAGAGGATCCCCTGGTAGTAATCCATTGCGCGCCAAGTACACTGATCAGTTGAGCAGTTACGTGACAGAGACTGTGTCGCTACGACGGTCGAACAATGACAACAATTACATACATAGATCCCAGAATTATTCTTCCTGTATCCAAAAAGACTTATATGAGATCAGGTAAGTGCAACCCCTTATAACAGTTTTTATAGTCTTGCAGACCGAAGCCTGACATCTATTATTTAAAACAGTTTTTCACGCTGGCCACAATACACTCTGCCATTCTTCTCCGATAGCTCTAAGCCTTGCATCCAATGTATCCTTTCCCTGTCCAACATATAGGACCTTTGAGTAGGCGGACTCTCCCCAGAAGCTCCAGGTCGTATTCGCAGGCACAAAGACGACATCACCCACACTTAGACTTAGCTTCTCATAGAAGCCCTGCACTTCCACCCCAATTAGCCCATCTACAACTTCAAGCGCTGTGTGGCCAGGCAAGAACCACGTCAAAGGCTCCGCACCAGTAGGTAGCTTAGACATGGTGATTGTGCCCTCAGTAAAGTTGCCATCGGACTGTGTGGCGGTAATGAAGGGCTCGATCACAAAATACGAGGCGTTGTCTGCAGACGAGGCGAGGATCTTGGGACCATAGCCCTTAGCCACGAAGAAGGGCGTCTCGCTGTTGGCAGCGAGCTCGTTCGTTCCATTCCTCCACGGGGCATCCTTGTTGCCACTCATGCCGTTTGCATCAAAGTCCATGGGCGGACTGAACTCTAGCTGCGCCCATACGTCGTACGACTGTAGCGCGCTGATGACCGCTGCATCGCCACCAGGACTGGTAAAGTTTCCCTGGGGGAATGGTGCCGAGGTCGAAGAGGAGTAATTTGCTGAGGCGAGGAAGTAAAAGAGATCTTCAAAACCGCCAGGTTGAATGACGCCGACCATTTCAGTGAAGGGATCGAGGATCTGAAATGTGTGCGTTGTATTGTGCGGGACTGCACCGTAGTCGCCGGGTGTGAAGAGACGGCCAGCAGTGCTGTTATCTTTAGAGGCCCAGAGGGCGAAGCGACCGCGGAGGTTGTAAAAGTTCTCATAGTGGGCTTGATGAATCTATAAGACGTGGTTCAGAATTTTCTCTGTCTGTGTACATAGAGAGGACATGACCTACGTGAGGAAGCACACCCAGCTCGCTGCTGGCGGGTGCCGCAGTGCTAATTAGCGTAAAGGCATAGTCTGAGGAAGGCCCTGTGACTGGGAACCGGTAGACCTGGGAGCCAATACGCACACCATCGAGCGTGTATGCGCGGACGGCGTAGGGACGGACATAGTCTGGGACCTGGGTAACTACGAGGCTGCTGTTATCGTGTTTCGAAATGCTTTGGCTAGCCGCGACAGCTCCAATCAAGGTAACAATAAAAATTGAAAACATGTTCAAATAGGTACAAACTGCCAAAGCAGTAACTGATTAAATCGGGCTCTTGCTCTCTTTTACACTCCTTGAATCAATTGCGCTCGGCAGTTTTGTCGGCACTCCTTGAATCAATTGCGCTCGGCAGTTTTGTCAGCACTAGAACTTCTCACCACACCTTTGCTGACCTTGGTACCGACTGTATCCGTGACCTTTCGAAGGGATTCTGCTGAGGCCATGCAAGACACGGTGTTTTGCATTGCCGCTTGCTAACCTGATATCCGAGTGGGGCTGGTAGCCTACGTAGGCTCATGATCTACATAGTAAAGTTTGCAAACATGGACTCCACAATTGTTCGATATTGGTATACGTAATCGGAGAGTGGACCTAGTGGCGGGAGACTCACAACCTTGGCCAGCTAGATTGCGCGGCGCTGTTCTAGGCAAGCCTCTCGCCTCTCTCGGGCAATCCGTGAAACCCGATAGTAGTATCCCGCCGGATGTTCCGGCCGGAACCCAACACCGCTAACACGAAATACGCGGACAACTGTAGAGCTTTTTTGTACCAATCACACATTCATTTCAACGTTTAGATCCAAACTCGATGTACAAAATGTTTGAGAGCCAATCATTAAGTCGGAATTCTCTACGGGACACTGCAAATATTTTTGACTGTGGAGGAAGAAGGCCACCATCATTGCATTTATAGATGCTACAGAATTGGGCGTGGCTGTACAGGAATACATCTTGCATGTCGCGACAGAGGCTCTAATGTCCGCGTCACCTTCTTCACTACCGATCTTCCAAACTTTCAATCTAAGATGATGGCTGCGGTGCTGTTTCGAAACAAGCTCTAGCTGGTGAACAAAATCTGATAACAGGGCTTCTTGCTTGAAGTTTTTCAAGCTTGTCGCTCGGGTAGCCTAGTGACCATGGGCGACGTATATCGAACGCGTCAGCTTAGATGCAGGTTGTGACAGAAGATTCCCAATATCTCTATCACATCGCCGTAGTAGTGAGAAGTTCATGCCCAGAAGATACTGCTTTTCAGTTATTCTGACTCTCGCTCAATAGTTTTCATTTATTCGTACCTTCATCATGAGGGTCGTCTCATCATTCGTTATAACCTCAGCACTTGCGGCTCGTGTATTGGGCGCATCTAATAGCTCATCTGGTCTTCTCTCGTCCGATCCTGGTACGTTGCTCTTGTCGCTGGCACGTATCTTGCTAACGTCTATTTTAAGACCGTTTGGGCAACTTCGCTAAGGCCTATCAAAAAGCCAAAGCGTTTGTGGCCCAATTGACCAACTCACAGAAGATCTCTATTATCACCAAGGGCGATGTTACCTCAAACTCTTCCTCGACTTCCAAAGTCTCATGGATCGCTTACACAACCAAAGATGCTATCGCAGGCATGAACTCTGCAGGTGTCATTGGTGGAGGCCGACATTTCCTGCTCAACGAGCAGGAGACAAACCGAACAGCAGGACTGGGTGGTTCTACAACCATTGGTTACTCCAGCAACGTTGACGACAAGACAATCCACGAGTTGTACCTTTGGCCATTTGCAGATGCCGTGAGGTCAGGTATGGCTGCAGTAATGTGCTCAATGAACCGTGCCAACAGCACATACTCATGCGAGAACAACCGCCTGCTCAATGAGCTTCCAAAGGATGAACTTGGGTTCCCTGGGTTCGTCTGGCCTGATGTGGGAGGCCAGATCACAGCATTCGGAGCTGCTAATGGATGATCTGATTACGGCTCATCCAGTCTCTGGTCGGAGTCGACCATGGAGGCAGGCATTGCTAACGGCTCTCTTACACAAGTTCGTCTCAATGATATGGCCATGCGTAACGTTATTCCTTACTATTTAGTTGGTCTGGACGATGGAATGTTTCCATCGAAGGCCGAGATCACCGAGTACCGCGAAGTACGGGCAAACCATAGCAGACTGATTCGCAATATCGGCGCAAACTCCCTCGTCCTGCTCAAAAACTCGAACAGCTCAAATGCCGGTGTTCCCCTTGAAAAGCCACGCATTGTTAGCATCTTTGGTGCTCATGCTGGACCTGCCATGGCAGGTCCCAATATGGCCTTCGGTGTGCAAGGTACCGAAGGACCAACCTACCAAGGCCATTTGGTTTCTGGGTCTGGTTCTGCTCAATTGTCACTCAGTTACATCAGTACACCTTACCAAAGCATCATGAATCGCACTATCAATGATGGCGCCATGCTTTGGTGGGTCATGAACGACACATACTCATCCTCATCTAACTCGGGAGGTATGGTTAATGGCTCACCTATGTCTGGAACGAACTGGAATGGGGGAGGCAACTCTACGGATAGCGGTATGGGCGGTGGTCCAAGCATGGACAGTGGCGTGAGTATGGGCGGAGGAGCCGGTGGTGCTGGCATTGGACAGTCTGGCACTTCCACAAGGCCGTCCTTCAGCAATTACGCCTCAGTTTCAGAAGTATGCATAGTCTTCTTGAACTCTTTCTCTGGTGAAGGTGCAGACCACACAGAGCTCTTCAACAAGGACCAGGACACAATGGTCACAACCATCGCTTCCGAGTGTAACAACACTATTGTCGTCATCAACACCCAAGGCCCCCGTTTGATGGAAGCATGGATTGATAACGAGAATGTGACTGCTGTTTTGTATGGCGGTTATCTCGGGCAGGAATCTGGCAATGCGATAGCTGACGTACTTTACGGCGATGCCTACCCAAGTGGCAGACTGATCAACACGATCGCGAAGAACGGAAGCGACTATCCGGTCAAAATCTGCTATGACGCCGACTGCGACTTCAACGAGGGCGTACACATCGACTACAGGCACTTTGATAAGTACAACAAGACAGTCCGCTTCCCTTTCGGATATAGCCTTTCTTACACTTCTTTTGAGTACTCACGAGTCCAAGTCAGCAGTACTGATTCGTCCGCATTGGCAAGCACGTATCCTACAGGAATTGCTACCCTCGGTGGAAAGTCTGATCTCTTTGACAATATTGTCTCTATCGATTTCACACTCTCCAACACAGGCGAAAAGGCAGGCACAGAGGTTGCTCAGCTCTATGTTGAATACCCGGCTAGCGCTGAGCAACCTCCTAAGCAGCTACGTGGATTTAAGAAATTTGCTCTCGAAGCTAGCGTTTCGACTAAAGTCACCTTCGAGATCCGCCGCAGGGATATTAGTTACTGGGATGTCCCAGCACAAGATTGGGCACTTGCTAAGGGCGATTACACTTTTTACGTGAGCTCAAATTCGCGCGATAGCAAGGGAACCGTAACATCACTGTTTAAAGGTAGTACGCACTCACGGAATGTTCATGTCGTTTCTATGGCTAAAATCAGGTTAAATGGATAGTTTGGGAAGTTTTGTATTTGCTAGTGTACTTCGAGGGTGTTTAAGGTTAGAAGCCTATTCCTCGCCATATTTACGGGCTGCTGAGTAGGCCGTGCCATATCTTCTAGAGCCTATCCCCTCACGAAGATACTTAACAACTTAGATAATAGAGCCTTTTATTATATTGCATCTGGTAGTATGCCAGGATGATGCCTCTGGATAATTGCTGTCTTTTGGTCGGTCGCATGACCTTACGTCTTGCAACAATTGTGGACATTTCGTGCCTTTGAATAGTGATAGCGTCAGGAAACCAAGTTAATTATCTGTATCGATACTTTCCTCATCAGATGTAAATGTAGCTTGTTTTGTAGCCCTTAATTAAAGTTAGGTTCTCACTTAATGAAACACTTTTGTTCACAGATAGTAAAACCAGAAAAAGCGACAAAATAAGCTCTCACACGTAGTTGGGTTTTTATCTCAGCAGTTCCTGCTAAGTCCAATAGTAACTTAGTTCGGATCCTTCCCGGATATGGGTCGTGTCGAACGCTCAGCCGTTACACTACCGTGCGCGCAGCCTGCGACTAAAACACTGTACGCAGCTATAGGAGTAATTGTTTAGACTACTAAGACTAATCTAGTAAGTTTCCCGCGATAACAGCTCTTATGTGAGCATCTATAGCCTCGGTTAGTGTGGGTGTTGCATGCACTGACCTGTTGCATGCACTGACCACCTACGTACAGTGGCCCGTTACACTTTCATACTAGCGTAGAATAGAACTTCGAAAGAGCACCTCCTCTATACAGAAATAAGAAGCTCCGAAGATAAAGCCGGTGAAACCTCTAGTGATATTGGCCGGCGTATGCGCCGGACCAAGCGTCCGATCTCTCCACATTCCGACAGATACTATCCTTCTTACGTGTGCTTTCGCAATTTATTTTAGCTTAGAATCCTACCCTACGTAGTATTCAGACTATAAAACGTGGAATTCTGTGCGCCGCAGAACGACATACAACACCACAAATCGCTCCGATACAACAACATGTTACTTATTCTTACGTCTATACTTTTGTTTCAGCAGGCTGCTGCTCAATACGTGAGTGGTGTCAGTTGGCCTAACTCTTTTCCAAAGCAAATTGCTATTGGCCGCCGCCGCCAGGGGTTGACTACTGCGGAATATCTATATCACCATACCATTGTCCACGGCCAAAAGGCATGGAACGCTCCAGATAGTGTGGACCAACCTCTCGCTTACATCCAAGACCATATCTTCGATTCAGCCTATGGCATCAACACAACGGCTAACTTGCCGCAACCCAACTATTTCGGCCATAATGATATAACGGAGTTATACAGCCGTTCGCAGGACGCTTTCGCCACTCCACCACCAAACAACTATACTATGGACGTCATCGGACCAGATGGCAATGCCTTTAACGACTTTTCAGCCTCCGTTAACATGTACGCCACAGAGGTTTTTGAAAAAGTCAACAGCACTTGTCAGCCTGCTGATTCGTCCTTCAATGCTTTTTACTGGGCCTTTGCAAACAATACCAACGCCAACAGCTCCTCATTCGACAATAGCACATTTGCCGCCACTATCATGCAAACACTCCTTGAGTCCATGCCATCTAGTACTATCTACAACGCTAGTATCCATACTTCAGTACCAGGCCTCGACTCCCGCCCATATTACGGCGGTTTCAACAATCCAACGATCAACGCTGTCCTGAAATTCTGGCTCTGTGATGGCAACCTAAGTGTTTTTAGGTTCAGAAATGCAATGAAAAGCATTATTACAAACAATGATATCTTGGGCGTCAATCTAGATCAGAGTTTTGTTGTCTTTAGTCGCTCAGTACTCATTTACGATCGTAGTACAAAAACTCCCTTTGACATGGAGAGAGCTACTAAAGCTCTTGTTGTTGATCAGTATCGTAGTGACGCTAGTATGAATCCGATGTAAATAGTATTGGCCCACGGGTCTTACTGCGGAGGAAGCGAGTTATCTTCACGCACTATGTATATAATATGAAAGAATTGAGTCCCTTTGTTTGAATTTACTTCAAAAGCACAGATAACGTGCACAAACTATCGAGATCATATGCTTCAGACTTTAAAGTCTTGTTTAGTTGCAGTGATATCGACATGAAGATATTCGCGTTGGACACTTTTGCAATTGAACAGATTACTACAAGCACCTCATAAAACATGCCCGCCTAGAGCTCTATGCAGATATCGTTCATAAGGCAAGAGGACGCTACACACATTTGTTAATTTAAAGCTTAAGTTAGACTTCTACCTACAGCTCTGTACGCAAGTCAACATCCACAGTGATTAAATTCTACCTCCTAGCACTAACAGACGATCTAATTGTGAGAAGCTAGCGTCCTCTGAGTTCCTATGGGTCTCCCTAGTGCCTATTGGACTTGATCGAGCCCTCTTAGTCATACCTGACTTAGCACTGAGAATGTAAGCTCAACGAACACGGCCTTAGCCCAGTAGCTGTTCGTCTGTAGTGAATTTAAAACATTTCATCACTTCTGCTATCGTTGCTCTTAACTAGTGCTTATCATAGCCTTGTTGTCTAACAACGATTATATAAGATTTAGTATAACAGAAAACAACCTTCTCGAATCTAAGAATGCTACCAAGAAATCTATGTATTATCAAACCAGTTAAGCTAAGCACAAGAAAAAGGGGCTGGGATATCTACAACATACCCAGATCAAGTCAGGTACTAGAGTTTCACGCACCAATAGAGCAAGACTCTGAAGGTTTTCATATATTACACGGGATGCCCTGCTCCTCAGTTCGTCTAGACCAGAGGACTGCTTCAACCGCGCCAAGCTCGAGATACCAGGGACTTTTGAAAACAACACCACGATCGCAGATCTGGAAGCAGCAGATTGTATAAAATTATTGATGATGGCAAATGATTCCCAGGTCCTATATAACTCTGGTTGGGATGCTTTTGGAGGAAGCTCTCAGGCCTCGGGTGTGGCGGGCCAATATGCCAGTGTGATCCGAGAAGCGGGTTTGCCCGTATGCTCATATTCGTGTTCGCTCGAGGCTAAGGACCCACCCAAAGGCTGTACGCGTGAGACAATGGAGCTATTTTATTTGTTTATAGTGTGATACGCAAGTGGATCGAGATTCTTCCGCCAGTTATTGAGTCAGACGCCATATTGATCCAAGATTTTCGTTGAGATGACTTGGACGGAACTTTGAAAATGTTCCCGCTAGCACTCGAGATTCTGAAATGACTTTTGTGTAACATCTGAAGTGCCATCATCTTCATTTTCCTTGACGCTATCGACTTGCTGGATGATCCAAGCCGCGTTAAGGAATCAAGTCGGAGATTACTAAACTACTAGTAGAGCCGAGTAGTTATTTAAGTTATCTGACATAATATTATATCATCTGACTACTAAAATCCCGCAGATCCTATAGTCTTCTCGTATTCTTATACGAATACACGTGATATAATCATATTATATAGCCGGTTAAATTCGCCAATTTTAATTCATTATATAAAAATGCACGAGTGGTCGTTATCCATCTGTAAGACACTTTAAATTAACTATCTTCGCTTCTACAATGCATTTTTCACACCCAAGTCCACTTCTTCTTATAGCACTAGCTCATCTTTGTCACGCTAGTGGCAAATTGTGGTTCTGTAACCAAAACGCACCGACTTCAACACTCCAAGCTTGTGCACAAGTTTCTAATGGATACGTGAAAAAGTATACGGTTACTGTTGCAGGGACTGGGAATTCACGTGGCTATCAGACTGTTAATGTAAGAAGCGCAGTTCCTTAAACGTAAACGAGATAAATCTAATACAATTAGTATCGTTGCTGCATACCAGATGATCTACTACCTGTTACACAGTTTTTCGATGGTTGTGAGGCCTCTTATAACGGTGATGGATCTTCTGTAGTTAATTGGAATGGATATTGTTAATCCTTACTGTTTGGCTCCGGCAGGAGTACGGATAGATGGCTCACGTGCTTGCTGCAGCTATTCAGGAAGCTTCTGGCCATGTCTCAGGGTACTGCTTTGGATACATGGTTCAGCTCTGGTGGAATGTCATGTGTATTTTTCAAGTCATTGGAAAGGCATCAGATTGCGATTGCAACTTCGTCGGCAAGGTCTGGTAAGCGGGCGTTTGGTACTGAGATTATAATCATGTACTTAGCACCAAGATAAAACCTTTTCAGTTATCCTATAACTTCTACAGCATTTCATTGTTTTTTTGTCAGACTATCCTAATGATCTACATCTCACAATCTGTAGCTGTCTGAGATCGTCCATTCCTGTTTAATTATAACTTGACGAGACTCATGACTGGCTATCGAAGAGCTCTCACCACGGCAGTACCGTAGCCCATCTCTTGCTTTTGATACCAGAGTAGTTGTTTTAGAGTTTTCTTTCAAATCGCCTTGTATTGATATACTGTGGGCTTGTGATATTGTTTCATTGAGTAAAGCATTTGAGCTTGACTTTCACCTTGTTAGGGGTCTCAGCGCGATGCTTATTCGTGCCCCACTAAGTTCCCCTGTGACTGGATCTAGAGCATATTGTAGAGATAAGCCAGTAGTTTTAAATCCTTGGGCAAACCCCTTGAGCGTGAGTGTTGTGGCAGATATGAGGCTGTAACATAGTGATCAGCTGCATGCTGAGAAGAAGGTTGCTTGGAGAGCCTCTCCTTTCTTCTCGCTTCAATCTCAGCAGAGCAGGTATCTTAGTGAATTTTTGCGCCATTTCGTATAACGCGCTCGCGATTGTCTTCCTCGCCTTCCCGGAAGCACCACACCCCTCGTTAGTAAACATGAATTGGTCATGTCTTATGGTTGGCGTTCTTTTCGGCGTTGCAACAGTGCACTATTTTTTCTTCGGTAGGTGTACCTACAAGGGCCCAGTAGAGTATGTTAAGAAGTCAGTGTAGCATGGGAACTCTAGCGTATTGAACGATATGAATTATCTCTCGATGCGTTGGTTGTATCTGGTATTGTCACTGTACATACTAACAAGCGCAGCTAAGGACTAGCATTGGTTAAGTATGGAGCATCCATCTTTCTTATCTACGCTGAGCTCCAAGTTAACAAGACCCATTCATCCGCCCAGCTATTGTTCCGGATACGTCGCGCCCCAAGGCTGATAGCCATCTTCCTGAAAAATCTTCTCAAGCTGCCGTCTTCTGACCCCGACATTTCCACCATCAAACAACGGAAGACACGCTGCATCCTGTAAAATCTTCGAAAATGGCATATCTTCTGCATAGGATTTCCTGTGCACATCTCCCATTAGTACCTCGATCACACATTGTCAACTTAGACAAATAAGATGAAGTAACTCACATTCCCACAACGCTCATACACCCCAGCACCACCTGAGTGACCTGCTCACTACACCAAATCTTCGCTTCAAGAGCAACTTCCAATCTCGCCTGCCAACCCACCTTCTCCTCTTTACTTTCCAGCACGCACATGGCCTTCCACACCAATACACGAGCAGCCTCAATCTTCATCTTGGCATCAATCAGCCTATCACTCACACTTTGATGTTCCAGCACAGGAATCTTCCCGCCTCGGTTTTCCTTTTTGCAAAAGGTGAGCGCAGCTTCGAATGCGTGACGCATGACGCCAACGCACATTGCGCCGACAATAGCTGCAGACATGCCAAACGTCTGTTCGACTACTTGGGCGCCCTCTCCCGGTTTGGCGAGGACATTGGCGGCAGGGACTCGGAAGTTGGTGAAGCGGGAGTGGGGCCCATTGACGGATTTGTGACCCCCGAGCGAGGGGTCGGCGAGGACTTGGTAGGCGGAGGGGTTGTTAGAGGCAATATCAGAGCGGGTAACCAGGAGGATGAGGATGTTCGAAATGGGGTCTGAAGCGGAGTCTTGGGGGACATCAGGTTTTCCTTGTCGGCAAACGATGCATTGGAGGTCGGCTCCTCGCTGGTCCCAGCCGCCAGAGTTTGTTGTCCATAGCTGGACAACTGTTAGTATGAAATAAAAATTACATAGTTATTGTGATTGAATCAAACAGTTCAAGTAGTTCGCCCAAGACACACCTTTTCTCCATTGATTATCCATTCTTCTCCCTCTAGATACGCTGTAGTCTGCAAGCCTGGTGCTCCTTTCTCCAGCCAATTAGCGGTTCCCTGAGGCTCACTATGTACAAAGCTTGCGAGCCTCTCTCCCGTCTGTTCCAAGAATGGTGCAAGGAATTTCTCATGTTGCTCCTTGCTTCCGGCTAGAATCAAAGGCGTAAGACCCAGTCCAGTACCCAAGATGGTGATTGCGGTACTTGGCTCTACAGCATGGAGCTCTTCTATCACAATGGCTGCGTCGACGAGTCCAGCAGAAGTGCCGCCTAGGGGTACGGGAATTTGGCCCTTGATAAGACCTGCAGATACGGCGGTCTGATATATGGGAAGAGTGGATTGAAAGCGCTCTGTCTGTGTGGTAAGGTGGGAGTAATAGGTCGGAGCCTTAGATAGAACAGTGTCAGCGAAGGCGTGGACATTGGCCCGGAGCTCCTTTTGTTCAGGTGTGAGGGAGAAATCTATCATGATGGCTGTATTCTGTGATCAGACGCCTTTTTTTCAAACACCCTTCCTCCGACCAGTTAATCTCCAAGGCCCATTTATATAAAATGGATCATGAGGCGTTCCATGTGCCAGCTTATTAAGCTAATGCGGTCAGCTACATCCCGTGTCCAATGATTTCAGAGGATCTTATTCTTGGCCGGACCTTTGTCCTCATTTGATCTGAGGTCACAAATGAGAATGGAAAACGCGGATGCTTGCGAAAGAAACGGGGTATCTTATTGTAACTCCTGGGTCTAGGCCCTTATTGTAATGCCGGCATATCATCATCGCAAGCCAGAAATGTCTCTTGACATTGAATGAACACGGGCTTCAAGCTCCTTTTTCTTCTTCTCTAGCTGGCGTGCTTCCTCTTCTTCTCGTCGCAAGTCTTCCTCAGTCAAAGGCGCAACTGGCTCAGGCTCATATTGGGTCTCGTCAGCCTCATCTATGTAGTCCTCTCGTGATCGATTCAGCTGTTCGAGCTGGACCTGCTGCTCTGCTAGCCGCTCTTCGTAGTATTGCACCGATGCTGCGACTTGAGCGTATCTTTGGCGCAAGGTTGCAATCTTGTCGTGCACACCTGGGATTGGACTGAGTCTTATTAGCAAGGTTGAGGATCCTCCTGGTTGAATACACATACTAAACACCAAGAAGCTTCTCGGCTCCTTCCAACAGTGACTCGACGTCTATTTCGTTCTTGTTGTTGGGGTTGTACATTCTGTAACCCAAGCCTGAACCCGCACCTCCTCCTCCACCTCTCCGTATCCTTTCTACAAGCTCATTGCCCAAGACTGCGGCGACGGCTGTGTTACGTCTAGGCGCTCTTACTGCATTGGCGCCGCCTCCGGATATGCTAGTACCACCTCCTCCATTAGGGTTGAAGATAGTGTTGCGCCTGTTGGTCGAAGGAGCGGGTTCCGCATGTTTGGGGGCTGCTGGCGGCGGAGGAACAGAGAAAAGGGCTCGCTCATGCAGCTCGGTATCGCGAATCAGGCTGGTTATATCATGGTTTTGCAGCAACGCATTGGTGAATATCTTTGGTGGGGCGAATCTGGGACGGGTTCAGTCCAAGGGTGCAGTCCAAGAGCAAAGAACATACGGTAGTTCAGCAATAGAGGCCGAGCAAAGCGATATTTGCTCAAGATACGCGTCCAGAAGCGTCATTATGTGCAATTCCTGAATAGGAAGAGGGTGTGCTATGGCGACGCGGGGGGTAAACAATGGTGGGCGCTCGGTGCTCGATAACTATTCCCCGATGTTCCGCGCTGGCGTCAGTGAAGCTGGGAGCTCCACCCTCAGCTTAGCACCAACACCACCAACCCTCGCCCACCACTGTCAACGTCCATTGCCCCCGATCTTCGCTCTGCACCTTCCCCTTCATCCGCAGAAATCACAAGAGCGACCGTCATGGCGGACAGCATGGAAGGCGTCGTTACGGCGGGCGAGGCGCCCAAAAGCGAGAACGTAGAGCAGAAGGCCATTGCTGGTAAGTCGCCCAATCTGCGCCCTACAGCATGCCTTTTACCTCAAAATGACCCTGTGCCGACTGCATGACGGCATGGTCGACTCGCAAGATGTGTTCAAACCACATGATTGCCACCGAGAGTGCGGCCTGCAAGTACCTGGCCCAGAGTGCTGATCCGACGACTATAGATATCCGCAGCAACTTTGTCCTTCTTGAACGCGCCGTAGCCCAGTTCGATACCCGATTCACTCTGCGCGCTCTCCGCTCAATATCTTCTCTCCGCAAGAGGCTCACCGACCGAGTACTATGTTCCGTCGTCATCTTGACATACTCACCCAACAACGCCACAGCCCGGACTTTCATCGAGTATATCGGTATGGACGGCGAGGCGATACAGAGCGTTGTATCCCAGTACAAGGAGGAGGTACAACTCAACAAAAACAGCACCAAGGAGCCATTGCCCGAGGTGGACGTCTACATAGCTATTTTGATACAGGTATGTTCGTTTTGGATGTAGGGCGGACAACGACTGACAGGAACAGGTATATCTCTATGACCAGAAGGAGTTTGAAGAGGGCGCCGAATTCTCCGAGAAGCTGGTAGACAAGATCCGAGAGTTGAACAGGCGGACACTCGACTCGCTAGCGGCAAAGGCCTACTTCTACTTCTCGCTCTTCCACGAGGAGATGGACCCTAAGCCTCCATCCAAGCAATCAGCCGTCATCACCATCCGTGGAAAACTGCTTGCTGCTCTCCGAAGCGCTGTTCTCCGAAAAGACCCCGATACCCAAGCGTCCGTCACCACACTGCTGCTCCGAAACTACCTCTCGACTGCCGACATCACACAAGCCGATTTGCTTGTGGCCCAGACACAATTCCCACCCAATGCTCCCAATAACCAGGTTGCGAGATACCTGTACTACCTTGGCCGCATAAGGGCTATCCAGCTATCCTACACTGAGGCACACGAGCACCTGACCAGCGCAACCCGCAAGTCGCCATCTGCGCACTGCGCGACTGGCTTCTACCAGGCTTCCATGAAGCTACTTTGCGTTGTTGAGTTGTTGATGGGTGATATTCCCGAGCGCGATGTCTTCAGCCAGCCTCGCTTGGAACGTGCTATGGAACCCTACTTCCGTCTGGTCCAGGCTGTCCGTGTGGGTGACTTGCAAGGCTTCTTGAAGGTGGTTCAGCAATCGTCATCCGTCTTCCACCGTGACGGCACCTACACGCTTATTCTTCGTCTGCGACAAAACGTCATCAAGACAGGCATCCGCATGCTGTCACTTTCCTACTCACGCATTTCACTGCGCGACATTTGCATCCGCCTTGGTCTCGAGAGCGAGGAATCGGCCGAGTACATTGTCGCAAAGGCTATTCGCGATGGAGTGATCGAGGCGTCAATTGACCACGAGAAAGGCTTTATGCAGACCAAGGTGGCTGGAGACATCTACGCAACCCGTGAGCCCGGCGAGGCGTTCCATGAACGTATTCGCGCATGCCTGACTCTGCATGACGAGTGCGTCAAGGCAATGCGCTACCCAATGAACCAGCACCGCCTGGAACTCAAGAACGCCCAGGAGGCGCGCGAGAGGGAGCGCGAGTTGGCCAAGGAGATCCAGGACGGAGACATTGATGAGGACGATGCGGCTGGTGATTTTGAGGGTTTGTAAGCGGGGTCTGATAGTCGAGCGTGTACGATAGCCATGTGCGGAACTGGTATTAGGAAGCGCTTGCAAAGACGAGATAGATCAACATGTTAATGATGCATGAATAGAACAGACTTGAGACAACGCAAGGCTCGCAAGAGTGGCTGTATCCCACTACTGAGGCAGAAGCATGTGACAAAAGGCAAGCGTGCCAAACCAAAAGGACATCCATGCCGCACATCGATGCATGTGCTAGCCGGTTGCAGCAAGACGCCGTTTCGTGAATTAGTAGCCCCCGCAACCAGCTCAAGACCCAACGCGTTGCTGCCCCACTGCCCGTCCTCCCTCACGTCACGACGACTTGACCAGATTGCCAATGCTCTCTTGGGAACTACACCATGCTTGATTGGGGCAGCCATGTAAGTCTTCTCTTGTCAATTCCACATACGCCAATACATTAAATGGGCATCATCATTGTCCTAACACCAGCATCAGGATTGACGTACCCCGGCGTCTGCGGCGCGCCATCCTCCTCAACGACCTTCCGCTGGTCAAGCGCATCATTCGCAACAACCCCAACTACATCCGCAACCCAGACTTTGACGATCGCTCAAACACCTCGCTGCATCTTGCTGCAAAGCATGGCTTCACCACTATCGCCGAGTTCCTCGTCGATGCCGGCCACGAAGATGGTATGATCAGTCGCAACAACGACTGGGAGACGCCGCTGATGCTCGCCGCCATGGCCGGCAAAGAAGAATGCGGCGTCTACCTCGCCAAGCGATTCCCCGAATGCGTGGGCTGGAAGAACAAGACGGGTTTGGATGCACTGATGCTGGCGTGCAAGTCAGGGTCCGGCACCTTGCACTTGATTCCCACGTTGATTATGCACGGCACAAATATACTCTCTGCATGCGACAACCAGGGAAATACCGCGCTACATCATGCTTCTGCAGCCGGCGAGCTGAAAGCTTTAAGGATGTTGTTGCAGTACGGTGCGAATCCGGTTGCCAGTAATAGTTATAGCTGGACGCCGGTGCACTACAGTGCGACAAGCGCGGCAGAAGCGTATTTCAAAACACTGATAATCGAGTTTGAGAAGAAGAAGGCGGAGGGCAAGCGGCTGAATGCTGAGAGGGAACGTCAGCGTTCGGCTGGTGTGCGGTTGGTTACGGATCCTGAGGGGCTGAATGGTGCAAAGGAGGCGAGTGCGAATTCCAGGCCTGAGGGTGCTGGGCACCGTAGGAGCGGTAGTAGGCAGAGAGCAAGAGATGATGCGGCCATTGCGGGGCTGCCCGCTCCTGGTATGGAGTGGAGTCCCGTGGAGAAGAGGAGAGCTATGACGCCGACTGAAGGCCGCGGCTGGGCTTTTGCTGCTGATGGTATTCGTCCTAGAGCTGATACTGGAGAGTCTATCTAGTGACCGACAAGGCTTTTGTATTGTATTGTTTGGGTATGGGGAGTTTGGGTGTTTTTTTGTACTACTATGATCGTTCGGATAGGGATCGGTTGCATGATTCGCCTAAAGGTTTTTGTTAGAATACGAAGACCACGGATGCCCCGCTAGATCGGGAGTCGTTTGGAATTGAATCAAGATCTCATTCAATGATTGTTTGCTTGTTATAGTTTTTGCTTTGTAAGATGGCAGAGGGGCAGTGTGCTTGAACATACGTCTGGATGCTACAGCATGTCTTGGGGTTCATGGATTGATCAGCTGTCCACCTTAATAGATTGCCAGATGGACGTTTTGATGAGAAATTACTGGCCCTCTGCTGGCTTGATCCAAATTGCATAAAAGAGAAAAGTACCAATAACGCCATTTACCATGCTATACCCCATACTATCCACTGAGCCTTTTCTGTCCTTCCCTTGTCTCGCTACGAACCATTTCGTTCATTCAGTTATTCCCAACTCCCAATTTCAATCACCAACATGAGAAATCGTCGAATGAATATATCCATCAAATATCAACAGTGAGGAAAGTCATCATAAAAGACCTCACTCAAAACCCACCAATCCCCTCCTCCCCGCTATCCTCTTCCATTCTTTCTTGCTTCCTCCCCCTATCACTCACATCCCCACGGCCCTCCCCTTTACTAAGCACTCCCCCCAAACCAACAGCCATCTGTCCGTCTTCTTCCCCATCCTCGTAGTACTCCCACTCAAACCCAATATCCTCCAACGCATGCGGCGCTTCTCTATCCTCGACCTTACATTTCACCTCCCTCAGTCCGACCGCTACGATGGACTCGTCTTCCGCGTGTTTTGACGACGAAGACTGAATATCTGATGCGGAGTCTACGCGGCGTACAGAGGCGGAGGGTGCGGTAGTGGAGAAGGTGGGTTTTTGGCTGGTTTCCAGGGCGGTGACGAGGTAGATGGGTTTGCCTTGAAGGGTTGTTTTGCGGAGGAAGGAGAGGGTTTGTGGAGAGTTGGCGAGGTGAGAGAGCAATGTGGTAGGGTTTGTGAGGGTTTTGAGTGCTGTTTTTTGGGCCGTTATGACGCAGTTGATTTCGTCGTGGGCGATTGATGGTGTGTGAGATTGGGAGTTGTTGGAGAGAGGATCGGTAATGAGTTGGCCCAGTGTGAGGGATGTTGGTGGGAGGGGAGCTGGGAGGTGGAGTAGAGATGCCATTGTTGTTTTTGAGTTTGGAGTAGAGTTTGGACTTAGAATTCAAGTATAGAATTTCAAGGCGGGTCGAATAAGGCTGGTTGTTTATCACCACTGCTCCGTCTTTACAGATATATTTAAATTCGACTTCAAAATTCAACGTCGATCCGTGCACTGTAAAACTTGGATCACATTCTTCACTCAGCACAGACACTAGAGCACGAGAATCCCTACTTATGCATCCACTTGGCAGTCGATCAGCATGCCCATGCTTGACATTGCGTGATGACGAGCGGTCGCTACCTCGCTTGTCGTCGGGCGGACGGCGAATGCTCGGCTGAACGCGAGAAGGAACCGGTAGCGATGACGATTTCTAGGTTCAAACTGCCCCGCATTATGAAATCGATTACCCCATCGGTAACGAGGGACCACATGCGCTGTTATTTGGACATGTCTGAGTGGTGGTCTGATGGCGATCGGCTGACTTGTTCCTGAGACGCATGACATCCGAGGCTAGGTTGTGTACCACAACGGAAAAGCTCGGAGCCGCAATTGGAGTCGCAACCGCATGTGCTGCAGACGGTATGTTGCATGACACGATAAGTTAAAAGTGTGAGGAGAGAAACACTACATGTATATATGCGTGTGCGAATGTGACGAGGTTGATCGCGTGAGTGGATTTATCTGGAAGCGAAATATCATAGGATTCGACGGTCGAAAGAGAGGAAATGACAGTATTGGCGGTGAATCCCTGCGTTTTTCCCAAGAAATGCGAACGGACGTATCGAGTGAGATGCCGGCAGTTGGAAGAACCTGTGAATGCCTAGAGCATGCTACAAGCCGTCTTATCTACCACTTCATCTGTCTGTTTTCGTCTAGAGACGGATTACTCTAGTCGTCGCTATTGCTGTGCTGGCATTGTAGTATTCGGAATTTGCTGTAACATATGACGTAGCCGCATGAGGAGTTCTTTGGTGTGATGGAGATTTTGTGCACATCTTGACTATCTTTGCAATCGAGTAGTGCTCTAGCAGGTGGAGAGCTCATCCCGCATTGTCTTATTGGTCAATTCTCACATGTGAGCAAGATGAGCTGACTAAGGCGCAGCGTGGCGTTTGTGGCTGGTGGCTGGGCAGACGCAATCGGCGACAAAGACGCGCTTCACATGTGACGTTTAACGTTTCCATCAAGTCGTGTCGCCATTGCAGTTTTCACGCCATTTCCAGACACAGTAGCGACCGTCGCTTTATCTTTGAAGAGATGGCAGGAGTCGAGATAGGTCTCTCCGCCAGGTCAAAGGCCTACAGTGTCCTTTGCCCTCGGCAGTGGGCGGATAGCTAACACTGCCACACAACGACATGAGCAAGGTACCGTAGGCATGACGACTCGACTCGGCTCTTTCGCCATGATCGCAGCCCACGCAAATACCCACCACCAATAACAACATGGTAGAGCCAGCACCCAATGCAGCGAGCAGCCAGCCTCGCCGCCAAAATGCCCTCGCCGAGATCCAATTCGCCTCTATCATCGACAGTGACCTCACTCCTTCCGAGGACGAGACGCCAGAGGAGAGGGCCTTGGAACTCGAGACAGTGCAGTCAGCCATAGGCGTCAGTATTGGCAGACAGCAGACGCGTCTCACCTCCCCAAAGACACCGGCTGCGGAAAAAGCTGCGGCTCTCGACGCGACCGAAGATGGGGCCTTCTTCGACGGCTGGCAGGAGGCTGCCGAAACGTCTCCAGAACGAAAAACACCGGCATCGCCTGCACGCATGCCAGAGTCACCGACAGTGACATCCAAGCATATCGAAAAACCCGACTCCAAGCCAGCGCCTGTCCAGACGGCAAGAAATGCCGACCGTGGGCAACAATCGGATCCGCTAACGCGCCTTCCTTCACCATGGCGCGCCGGCCCAAAGACATTCCAGAAGGAGAAGCAGGGTGATCATCGCGCTCTGCTGCGCCAGCACCTGCATAGTGGACGAAGGCGGGCGTCCTCGGGAAGTTCAATGGGCGAGGCTGTGCGCAAATACATAAACTTTAATATACCAGCCTCGCTTACCAAGTCTTACAAAGACATGCATTTTTCGCTACCGAGTCTGTCATCTTCATCAGTGGATACTGCCCCAAAGCAATCTAGTAAGAGGAGGCGGGATACGCTTGCCAACCCACCACGACCTCAGAACATACCACAGCACGATGGCGCCCGTCAGTCCGCACCTAACGACTCTGGAAACGAGCAGAGCAATTTTTCAAATGCTTCTCAGCGGTCCAACACTGCTCCAGTACCACAGCGTGAATTTAGCGACAGCAGCTCATCCACTCTTTCTCCAACCAGTCAAACACCAGTCGAACGGCCGGCGCCTAGGCTGCGTCGGTCCAACTCCGAAGGGTCCCTGCTTTTGTATCGAACGCGATCCCTTGCGTCTTCTTTGGGCGACGATTCGCGCTTTGAAAGTGTACATGAACAGGTCAACAGTAGACTCAAGGCTCTGAAAGACAGTTGGCAAGACTCGAACTTCAAGCTTCCAAGTCCCTCGCTCCACAATTTTAACCTGAGTTCCAGTACCGACTTGTTCAGGAACCGCAATTCCAGCACTGCATCTAAAGCACGTGATGCCGAGGAAAGCTCTACTCCTCGAACAGGTCTTCGTGGAAGCGCATCCGGGCCGACACCACGCAGTGACTCTTTAAAACCGAAGCGTTCTTCACTCCGCCCTGGTGATGCAGAGAATGAGCTGCATCCATACTTCACACAGGCTCTCCAAGAAATAGAGGGAGATCTGGTGATACTAGGAGGCTACCGTGGCTCTGTTTTGCGGTCAGCGGAACCTCCTCATCGGCAGTTGTGGGTACCTATCAAGGTTGGACTGAATCTACGAAAAGTAGATCTTGAGGTACCTCTTGATCCAGATGCCGATGAGAAAATGCATGAAACCATTATTCCCAGTGGCATGCTGACGCACATTGGACCTGTTGATATTGCAAAACGCCTTTTCAAGCGATTGAGGGCGAGCGATAACGCTAAAGAGGGGAAGCTGAGAGTACACAACTACGGGTACGATTGGAGACTATCGCCACATTTTCTCAGCAGGCAGATGATTAAGTTTCTTGAAACACTGCCTTGTAATCAGCCGGGAGTACCTCCAGAGAAGCGGGGCGCTACGATGATTGCACACTCACTAGGTGGTCTAATCACCCGCCATGTGATCAATCAGCGTCCTGATCTTGTTGCTGGAATCGTATACGCTGGAGTACCTCAGCGATGTGTCAATATCCTCGGTCCCTTCCGCAACGGGGACGACGTGCTCTTGTCCTCTCGTGTCTTGACCGCTCAAGTAAACTTTAGCATCCGCACGTCCTACGCACTGCTGCCCCTCGACGGAAAGTGCTTCATCAACAAATACACCAAAGAGGAATATCCCGTCGACTTCTTTGACGTAAACACCTGGAAGGAATGCCGCCTATCCCCTTGCATAGCAGCACCCCTGCCGCGCCCCGAGCCCTCCAAAGACAGCACCTTCAGCGTAAGCGGCCTCATGAATGCCGTCTCAAACGTCCTCCCTACGTTTCCTCCCCGCAAAAATAGCTCCGCAAAAGACGCATCCGATGTGGCTCGCAACGCCACAAACGCCGTCGCAGAAGGCAGCGTCGAGCAAGCGGGTATGGGCCCGCAAATGGGCAACAACCAGGCCACAGAAACCTCCAAAGAACCTAACCCCGCAACTCACGTTACGATCCCGTACAACAAGGCTATTGAGTACCTAACTCGCACTCTTGCAGAAGTCAAGAAATTCAAGCAAGAACTCGATCACCGGCCTGAACACACGGCCGCAAACCGGTATCCCCCCATCGCCCTGATTTACGGCAAATCCATCCCCACGGTATACGGCGCGAAGGTGGAAAGCAGAGAAGCCATCAAGCGCGCAGATGTATACGATGAGCTTGCGTTTGCGAGTGGAGATGGCGTTGTACTGGCCCGAGCGGCTATGGTGCCTTCTGGATACAGCGTTGTGAAGGGGGGTGTGGTGTCGAGTGACCGCGGCCATGTTACGCTGTTGGGGGATTTGGAGGCTGTGGGGAGGTGTCTGCATGCTGTTGTTCAGGCGAGGAAGAAGGGTGTGGGGTTGGGGGAGAAGATACGGTGAGTAGGTCGGAATTGTGGTGGAGGAAGTAAGGTTATTTACATGTCTATCAACTAGATGATTGAATCATTGGATGTATGTGGTATGGAGAGACAGGTTTAAGAGATGCTGTGTAATATTGCTCGGGGTAGTGGGTGGTGATGTCGGAGTGTGCTGCTCATGTCTTGTCGGTGGTCTTTGAGATGTTATGTATGATATGTTTGCATGTTACATTGTACACTCTGACCTTTGCCTTTTGTAATTACTAGTCTACTTAATGTGTTAGAAATGTCTTTGAAAACATCCAACGCGATTCAAACCCTTGCAAGTTTCCATGTCACAGGCGTAGTAAACATTCCTATCCGGCACTGCTCTAGAACTTTGTAAAGATAGAGCGCTTTGTACGTTGATCGTCTTTTTTTCTTCTTGAGAAAAATTCAAGAGCTAGGTAGCTCAAGTCATCCACGGGCGAGAAGTCCGAGTTAGACACAACACATAAAGTGTACGAGTTGACGAGAAGAAAAAAGTTTCTTTGATATCGTGTAGTGAGTGTTTACAAGGTTGGAAGAATGAAGCCAGTGGACTGGACTGAGTGTCTAAGAATTTATGCGATGAGGAAGGTGTTTAGTTTTTGTTTCTCAGGGGTACATTTTCATTCGTGATCTCTGATGACGAACTTCGATTTTGAGGGCGGAGTTTGTTGTGGAAAAAAAGGGGGGGGTGAGCATGTGGCAAAATGACTGAGTCAACTCGTAGCAAAACGGGTGCTTTACGCTGAGATGGAAGTGAAGATCTTCTATACACGGAAGCATGAAAAGATATTCATGAAGTGGTAGTAGTTGTGGATTACATGTTTGTTGTCATTGTTGCACTGCTTTGTGAACATGCATTGATTTCACTTGCGATGTCTTGGTGAATTCTTTTGCGAAAACACATTTGCATAGAAACCTAGCGGATGCCCAACTAACTTGAGCACAAAATAACATGGCCTCATCTTGAAGATGCGCACAAGACTTGGGAGATTGTGAAAGCAGTGAAAGTCAACACCACATTGCTTCAACATACAAAGTGGCCATCCGTGTCCTACTGTCTCGGCATACATAGACGATCTTAACATGAACTTTTCCTTCGATTCCACGCTCAACAAAGAAACAGAAGTCTGGCCATGGACGGAGAGCGAGAAATCTGAGACCGAGCAAGTTGACCAGAGATCAACCCACGAGACCAAGTCGCGGAGTCTCGAACAGGCTGTTTGGTTCCTGTGGCGATTCTGTTGACGTACCTGGGAATGTGCGCTTCGCTTTCCCCGTGCCGACTGAATCATTGCGCAAGAACGATCTGCGTCCAAGAGTTGCATGTGAACTTGCACGTCCACCCCGGGCCCAGTGATAGTGATGGGGCATGGATGTTGACTAAGAATACTGAGGCGGGCTTAACTTCGCTACTGATGGTTGTCCTTGGGACGAATTCGTCCAGATTTTACTGGAGCTGGGTCTTGTCGCCCCTTTTCTGGTACTGAGGCTGGTGAGCGTGGCTGTTCCGCGGAGCATATGTGTAGGCTTCCTCCAAGGGATTAGTCGACGCCGCCATGGTCTCATTAGTGCAGCGGTCTCCCCAGCTGGCACAGACTGCCGTAGCAGGTTCGGATGTCCGTGAGCATCAGCACAGGGAACATTCAGGCCGGACTTAACGGTGCAAGTGAATTGGTGCTGTCAGGCGGAGGCGGTTACGCGGAAGATCACAATTGAGCCGGCGGCACCAATGTCGATGTTGAGGGATTGACGCCAGCTTATCTCGGTTAGCGCACTTGGCGCTTGTTTCGGTAACGGTACCCAGGTAACTGCACTAGGCTGTCCAACATCAGACGTTGCCAGAATCTTTGATCGCATCGCCAATCGCTCAACCTACTCGATCTAGAATGCTGAATCTGATAGAGATCGATTTCGACTTACTGTAGCTTACTGCAGCGAAGCGAAATTTCAAGTTTAGTCCCATCACCATGTTGGCTCCACAAGTCGCACGTAGGCGTAGTTGGATGCAGGCATGGTCACGGCGCGCTAACCACAATGATTGGCTGAACAAAGGATGACCCGCAGCGGCAGGGCTGAGAGATTGTTCTATGTGGGATCTTGCAAAGCTTCCATGGCACTAAATGGTAACTGAACTCTACTGACAAGGTGTGAGTTTGCTGAATCCGCTTCTTCTGGGAGAGGCCCTTGGACATCCACATTTCCCATTCCCTTCATCCGACGCACTATCGTTGCTAATTAAGCTGTGGAGTTGAGATGTGAAGCTGATACGTTCAATCGAAGCCAAGGCCCTGCATAGCATGCAAACACGCTAGGCCGTACGCTAGGTGTCCCCGAGCCTCCTTTATTCGACCCCCAAGTACCAAGCATCTAGTTGCTGACTACTGTCACGGCGACAGTTGATAGAGTTGCCTCACACTCCAACCGCGCCAAGAGCATGAGACCACATGCGGGTCAAGTCACTTCGCTACCATGGCAGAGGATACTGCAGAGCACGACAAGGTACCAGCCTGTGTACTTTTCTCCTCCGCGGTCTCGTAACCCAATCATTTCAATAAGCCTCCACTCTCTACAATGGTGCGCCCGTCACCGTGAGATAGACTGATAGTCGTACGGGAAAAACTCCCAAGCATCTGGTATCGAGTGTGTGTGTGGAGACTTAACACGGAGATACTGCCACTTGGAAGAATATGTTCACCAGCATACCCACACAACCATGACTTATAGCCTAGTAATTCCCACTAGCGGCTCCGGATTTAACTCCTGCTAAAGTCAATTAACACAGCTTGCTCGAAATCACACCATTGGCAGTCGCTTGCACACATGCTATCCTTCACTGTTCGGCTTTGCTGCCGCGGCATCGCGCCTCCTTCACGTCGGCTCAAGCCAACGATCTACCGAACCTACCCGTATCCAAAAAAGGATTCTTTTACGAGAATGGGAAATGGTGATGGCTTTTACTCAGGGCTATGACAAGACTGTTTAGTTGACACCGTTTGGAAGACGGTGCGTTAGTTGCATTCGGCAGTGGTTTGTTCACCACGCATAATCAGTGCGGTAACCATGGATATCTTACAGCCAGACTATACAAACACGAATAAGCCCCCAATCCCGTGGAACTGTTTGTTTTCGGGTTGATGCATATCGGAGCAGCCGTGTCCCATTAATTCCAAAAGCACTCGTACACAGTCCACGAGGCGTTGATCGTTTCCGCAACTGGTTTCATTCTGCTCTGGTGATGGATTTTCCGGACTGTGCCACACGGTAGCCTGCGTCGTGCCTCATCTCCAATAATTTTATGCCCAATTGTAACACATTTGGCCATTCCAAAATCACATACAGAGGCGCGCATCCATCTTACACAGATATCATCATGGCGGGCTATAGCACCATCACAATCACAATTGCATGCCCATTAAAGGATAGCAACTAAAGTTTCGACTAGACAGTCTTCAGAGGGATGAGTGTCTTGGCTGATTGGTTGAATAATGATTGGTACGCTAGAACAGGGAGTCTCCGCGGCAGTTGTGTTCGGTGAACCGGTTCTTGGGTTTACCGACTTTCTGGCGGAGTGATGGCATCTCTGAAAATGACGATGGTGACTGAAGAGGCCATGGCCGTATATGCCGCCTGCCTACACAAATAGAACGTAATGATGGCTTTGTTATACTGCACCTGTCGTCTGATGGGGCTCAGCAACCAACATTGTATGGCCTGCAAGATTGCGTAAATAGTACGAGTGGCTGTAGTATAGGCCTTTGAAACGGGTCGACCGCAGCAACATCAAAGGCTTTGGGTTGAGCACGGTCGATAACGGATACCCTCCACTACAATGCTCAGACGATGGTAGGACCCCTGTGCCGGCTGTCAGCAAACGGCCGCCAGAAGACTTCGTTCTCAATCCGATCGTCTGCCTGCATCATTTGCATTATCAGCGTACTATCAACGGCTAGTTGGATACAGTTGTGCTGAATGGGTCCTTCGCTTATGCCAGCCTTGTCACCCATAAAATGTGGCCTTGGCGCCAACTTGGCAGATTGAACAATCGTCTCACAGGGCCGACTATGGAGCAGAATCTGCGAGGTAACAATGTACGTACCGACTCGAAAATGGAGACCCTGATGAGCCGATCGCCACAAGCCACACTGGAAGTTCCCTTCAGCCGCTTGCTGAGGGCATCAAACCATGCAGGTATATTCCCTGCGATTTTCACTCTGGGCGGTCGCTAGGCGTCAAGCCACGGAGAAGGCAAGTGTAGAATTCATGCTATGGAAGCCTTTCGTGCGCGGGTGTATGGCTAGTGGCAAGGGTAGTACGTATTCGCACGCCACTAGCACGCACGCCACTTGACAAATTCAGGCTGGCCCACAGCTTGAGCCTTTGAACTACGCCGCAAAGTAGTGTGATACCCATGTCATTTTGGGCTATCCGCTGGTCGCCAGCAACCAAGGCTGTGTGCGCTGCAAAGGTGGCATGCTGAGGTTGGACGGCCCAGGTCTAGCAAGAACCATACTCCTGGGCGCGTGTCGTATTGACCGATCTCCAGCAATCTCTTGAATGAGGGTCTACTATGCTCCTCTCCGAGGAGCTTGAGGCGTGGCTCTGGTCTAGCTATTGCATCAGATCTATAACATAGATGGTTCCGTCTGCATGTGCAACAATCCAATTCAGATCACAGATTCTCCAAGTCCCTTACACTAGTGTTGTATTGTCGTCGCCCACTATTCTTTGATTTGTGCTACGGCCAGAAAGCGTAACTGCACCGGTAGGATTGCATGTTGATCCTTCACCAAGGACGTCGGCGCTAACTGCATATAAGACCTACATCAGCCGTCATGGAGCAACGAGTCCCAACTTATACTTCGAGCCCATATCAGTACATAGAGAACTATGCGGAACCGTACGATGCGCCAATTCGCACTGCAAGCGAACCGATAACCTGTCAACCACATACTGGATCGTTCGGCGAACGACCATCTTTCCACAACTTTGACCGCGATACATTAGTCCATCGATCAACGGGCGCTCCAATGGAATTCATGGATCTATTGGCACTTGAGGCACCTTGTGGCAGTCCACTGTCAACAAGCTCTACCATAAGTCATCCTGAGAGCGTGCCTTCACCTCCTTACACCCGCCTCCCAGCTTACAACACCCTCGAACCGGCTTTCCACAATGTTCAAAACAATTCAACTAACCATGCGGCTATTCCCAATGATTCTGAGTCTCTCTGGTCAACTACCTACCCTGAAGTTACATCCTGGGATTCACGACCTTATGTTCTTCCCTATCACGAGATCCCCAGCTACGAACAGCGCTCCTACCAACTGATGCCGAATATTTTGCCTGAACCAAACGTCTCAGCACCCATACCCTACCTGCCATACCCTACGCCACAGCAAGATTTCTTGAATCCAGCTGTGAGCTCTGGAGCTTTCGATCTCACAGGCTTCAACAACAACGACGATGAAAGCGATGATCTGAGTGATTCCGATAGCGATGATTCATGGCATACCGAACCCTCTGCATCTAAAGGCTCGAAAAGCTGGTCGTCCAGAAAGGCTCAGCCCAGATCCAATGTCTACAGGCTTGAGGGATGGTCCGCCAACACATGTACCTTCCACACAACAATCGATCGCAGGCATCAGTGCCAAGAATTAATTGGGCCTAAAAAAGACACGCCTTGCAATAAGAGATTCCAAAGACCAGAGCATCTTCGCCGTCACATCAGAAGTGTTCATGGCATTGGCAACGTCCGCGTATACAAATGCAAGGTTCCTGATTGCTTTGCGCGCTTCCTAAGGAGTGACAACTTCCGCCAGCATTATCTCACACATGTGAGGATTGGGAAGAGAAAGGGCAACAATAGGAAAATGACATACCAGGAACTCAAGGCAATCCTTGGTCCCAAGGAAAAGGATCTGATCAGATGGATCAAGGGGAAGCAAAGGTAAACCTAAGCTGAGCCCCGGATCGGTGTCGTCTGGTCTACGGCACTCAACCGCATGTGGATGTGACTCATTTCGGTTTTGTCTTTCTGGTATTTTGAAGTTACTGGCGTTGGGGAGGCAAGTGATTATCATGCTTCGGCATACTTTTGTGTCATGTTTTTGCGCTCCTCCTCCTGTTGTTTATAGATTTTCTTGGTGTGCAAACTCCCTTAAACAAAAGCAATGAAAAATCAAAAAATCCCCACGTCTCAAGTCCTAAAAATTGTAATTTGCACACTTCTCATGCAAGACATATCCTGGAGGTCCCTAAGGGGCTCCTGCAGTCCATGTTGTCCCTGTCCTCGGCTCCAGATTGCACTAAATTCACCACTGGCATCTCCCGCATGAGCTGAAGAACACGTGAGATGAGACAGCGATCCTCTCACTCGACGTACGAAGACCCCTTGATCGAAATCGGCATGATCAAGATCGCCAACAATGACGCTTCTCTCACACATACTCGTGGCTAACGTCAGCCAAAGCCAGGTCCAATTTGACTACACGCTAATCAACACGGCTGACCTCGCTAATGCACATGGCTGGCCTCGATGGAACCTGGATAGAAGGCATTGACACCGGTCAGAAGACTAAAGGCAGCCAATCTTCTCTTTTTGCCGAAAAAATGGGGCCACTAGTATGTACATGAATTGCCATGAGCCACAGGACCAGGATGTAGCGAGCTGCAGGTGCCTCACTGAAGGATAACTTCCGGTTCGCTGGAGTTTGACCAGTTGGCGTTGGGGTTGCCAGGCGGATGGTAAAGTGGTCACTGCGTGGGAGACAAGGTGCTACCTTGTAAGGCTTGGATATTGTCTATACTCGAAGCGGTAACTGGAAAGGAATTCAAATGCATGCGCACTAGCCGTTTTCCAAGGATGTCAGTCTGACGACGTTGGGCTCCGTCTCAGATGCAAGCGTCAATGTCATACGACCCAAGATTCGAGATGCGATCTGGTCCAATTCTGCCCCACACCAGGCTCATGGGCCTATACTCACTGTTGCTTCTGCTGTCCTTCTGGATGGTAACCATGGAATCATTCTAGCCGATCAAGCGTATATTTGCACTTGCACTTGTATTTTACAAATACCGACCCAGCAGAAAGTCCCACGGAGCCATCACGGGAATAACAAATAACGATAGTGGTGGATAGATACAAGCTGCCTACTATCTTGCGCCTCCGGCTATGTAGGCCGTTGTTTTGGACCTCTGGAAAGTTGTCACATTCTCTACGCGCGCCGCAGCGCTTGCATTAGCCAACCAACGGTGGCACAGTAAGCCACTACCTGGCGCGGCATCCTTTGCCAGGTTAGCCTGTAGGGGGGATTGGCCGCATTTCTGAGCAATACTTCAACTATAAGCGAAAAATGGATTCATATGGATTGCTCTCAGGCTATGCTTGTAAGAATAATGACGACTTTCTAGGACATGCTTGCAATATTCACAATACGCAATATGGCGGCGTACCTGCTATAGCCTCATCAGCTTCGCGACAGCCTGGCCAGTGCCAACCATAGACCATGTGCTTGGCAACTATAGTAGGCACTGTTTGCGAGCGCGTAAATATGTGGGTATCTCATTGAGTTAGTGAGGCGAAAGTGATTAGGATGCTGTTCTAGCCCGCAATTCACTATACCTTCACCGGTAGGCTACCCTCTCAGCTAAGCTGTACCAAAACTTCTTTGTTCAGACACTATAGCTTGGATGAATTCTTCCAAGAAGAAACATCCTGTCTTTAGAACTGCAGGGGCCGAAAAGGCGCAATCCAGTACATGGCGACAGCAAAGCAATCCCATAAATATCCAACAAGAGGCCAACAGCACGTAGATCATCGTTACGCAGAGCAGCTCCGCCTCAAAAGTCCCAGCGTCTGGGCGGCTACATGCAGCGTCAAAGGCGCATGCAGCAATGTCAAACTCCCTAGCCCAAAGCGATCTGATCACATTCCTGCGGCTGTACATCAACGTCTGATCCACTTCTCCGCATGTACAATAGTCCCTTCATCGCTGATCTCAGCTTCACGTGGCAATTGGCCGACAAAGTACCGCACAGGGCTTGATTTTGTGTAAGAACAAATGCTTGAGTCAAAGCAGGTACCGGGAGTTGATCGGTGAGACGGCTCATAGTAGTCGGTGACCCTTCCCCAAACCATCCACCCATTCTGCATCTAGCACGAATGCTCAAAGACATCACGTTGTCAAATGATCATACCTATACTACACACACACCCAGCCCAAACCTGAGGCCACGCACTAGACACGAAAGCATGCATAAATGCCCTGTGCATCCAAAAGTTGAACTGACCGAACCACCACTATCAAACCCGCATAGTACACCAACTCAGCGCGACGACAACTGAGCCCATTGAATCGAGTTAATCCGCACCGCAGCACCTTCTGCACCCCCACACCAACAATCCTCCCAAACGCAGATCTTCACCATGCCCAAAACAAAAACCCCGTCCATCCACTAACCTCCTGATCTGCCACCGCAGCACACCCCTAACCGCCGCGCGCGCGAATCATTCTTCCGCGGGGGAGACCAGCATGCACGTAGAACACGACGTGTGTGTTGTACAAACAACGTTAACATTACTACATACGTTTGTTCTTTACTACGACGCCGCAAGTGGGAGAGGAAAGGGGGGGGGCAAAGTCCCCACTCACCAACCCACATCCACACACACTTGAGGCTTACCCTGCACCTGCACGCCCTATAGATGTCGCACAAAGGCTTGGACAAGCGCGGTGCATAAAGGATGTTGAATTGCAAGGGGAAAAACGGTCGGGAAGGAGGGATGGGATTGATGGATGTTACCTGACTTGTGTATAGCCGCGTATTGGTGGGCTTGCGTTAGGAGAGGGAGGGGGCTGAAGATGGCGCTCCTTGGTGCATGCGTGCGTGCGTGTGTAGCATGGAAGGCTAGATGAGGGCTTCTATGTAAGGGGTGGGGTTAGTTTGGGGTTGCTGTGGGTGTATAGACCGCCCTCTTTTTTCTTCCCTTTCCTTGCAGATTACGGGATGGGGATCTGGCGTGTGGTGAAATGAAGGAGAGCATGTCGTGGTCCTGGGGTTTGGGGTGTGATCTAGAAGGCATTAGTACCAACACTCGTACTAAAAGATTTTTCTCTTTCGCCTCAGGAGCTACGGAGGATTCATTGTTTGAGGCTGCGCCGTACGCGGGGTTTCGGGGTAGTTGCATGCCGCAGTGTGTGTGTATACTTCGCCGCCACATTCCAGTGTCGTCGTGTTGGCAATTTCACGACAGTATTTTCGATGACGTAGGTTGCCAATACCTACTGTTCTTGCTGCAACTGCAGGGTTGGTATGCAGTGATACTTCTGAGGCGACATCCGCGTTCTAGTGCACCCGCTGCTATGGCGTGAGCTGCGGCTCATGAAAGTCTCCATGCGTGGTATGTCACTAATGTGCCGCCATGTAGCATGCAGGTGGCGGCTAACAAGTTGCTCGAGCGCCAACTTCGATTCGATTTGCTTTCTTGGACGGGATTTGGAAACTTCGACTCTTGCTCGGTTCCAATGTGTTGGATACGCAATATCTGCCACTGACGAAAGGCACTTTGCAATCGAGACTCGCGTATATGCAACAGATGATAGACGATGGTGACATTTTGGTATGACGCACGAGTTATGAAGCGGTGAAAAACGAAGAGCATGTCATGCATGGTGAGCAATCAGGTTGTGACTTGAGATGCCCACAGGAGACGGGAAACCCTTTGCTCGCAATTTTGACATGGTTAAAACAAATCTCGTGGACTAAATGATTTTTGGCTCCAAAAGCCGAGTACAAGGGGCACTAGAAAACATAGAGAACCATACTACGAAGCTAAACGCCTATGTCCGATTCACATTTCCGCTGGCCAATGCTCCATCATTGAATAGGTTTATTCCTCAGTGTGAACTAACATCCGATTAGTACATCCTCACCAAGTCATACAATGATACTATTACGTAGTCTAAATGTAGTGCACAAAGTACTAGCATCACTTTCGAAGTGGCTGGAAATCTTTTGGTCACTGATGGCGAAAAAAACAATGGGGCAACGTAAAAAGAAATTCCAATTTGAAGCCTGGAATCAGAATTGATTGAAAACTTCAGCTACTCAAGCAGACCTGAGGCTAATAGAAATCATATCAAGAAAGCTCAACTTCTCTATCAAAGTCTTATACGAGCCTTTCTATTTCAAACTGGTACTAACACTGCAAGAGCGAGTGGCGATAACGGCGTGGAAAATGTGTACATAGGTATCTGAGACCAGTCAGTAACAGTATGGCCTGTAGTATCGTATGCTTCTCTTATAGACGGCAAGCAGAACATTGAAGGCACCTATATTTATCTAGTTCGCCATAATGCAAAAGCGAAAAGCATGTTTCCGTAGCCTGGTATGGTGAGGACATATGAACGCCAGATACTCTCACTCCACAATGGAGCTGGTAACCGGGAAACAAATCGAACCCCAAAATCCAAAGTAAAAACGTTTAGCAGAAAATAGCTAAATGAAACGAAATAGAAATGAAGAAAAAAAGGCATTTTTCCGCGAAGTAATACTCACGCAAGCGTTCGCTGCTTCACTATCACAATTTGCCAAAAAAAAAAAAGCAGTGGGAGGAAACTTCAGAGGGGCTACTTGAAGCCTCGCATGGAATTTCTATGTCATCAGAAAGGGCATAGGGACTCCATTGGTGTATACTGGGCCAATTCTGTTTGGAAACTCAGCATTTCCATCCACTCACGAAGAGAAGAACACTCGCAGAGTATGCATGAGCTGGTGATAAAGGCCGCCGCTTGACTTTCAATGCGTCGTGATGGGATCCAGATACCAGCTGCCTGTTTTGAATAACAACTTCACAGGATCGGGACAGATATATGATTTACTTTTCATACTTGCTGATAACCTTGGTCAACTCTCATTCTTTGGGATGAAATGTCAACCTACCACTGTCACGGCATATTCTTGAGTCTCAAAGGTGATGAAGTGGGTATAGTTTGGCCTTTATGACTGAATGAACAATTGGAGTCTATTGGAGAAGCCCTTTGACATACGACATGACTACCAGCGACCTCTGCCTCTGCCCCGGTCACGCCAATCATCCCCACCTCCACGCCCTCTTCCTCCCCTTCCAAAACCTGACTCTCGCTCTGGTGGTGCTTCGCCTCTTCTCCATTCCCCTGATGGCACACCTC